GGTTCCACTCCTGCCACTACTTCCTATTTTCAGTACATTCATCAATGTCTACTTGATGGTCCAGCTGGGAAGTGATACATGGATTCGCTATGCAGTGTGGATGGCAGTGGGTAAGACAACAGAGTCACACACACTGTCAGTTAAAGGAGTAGTTCACTTTTAAAAAAAACTTTTGCTGATAATTTACTCACCCCCATGTCATCCAAGATGTCCATGTCTTTCTTTCTTCAGTCGAAAAGAAATTAAGGTTTTTGATGAAAACATTCCAGGATTTTTCTCCATATAATGGACTTCAATGGGAACCAAACGGTTCAAGGTCCAAAACACACTTTCAGTGCAGCTTCAAGGGGCTTTAAACAACGCCAGATGATGAATAATAGTCTTATCTAGCGAAACGATCGCTCATTTAAAAAAATAAATAAAACACTTTACGTTTTATAAGCACAAATGCTCGCCTTGCTCTGTTCTGTGATGCGCGTTCGTGACTCTCCTGTTCATCAAAATGAACAAATCTTTTTTCGAGTCATTTCGTTCGATGAATGAACCAAATGACTCGAAAAAAGATTTGTTCATTTTGTTCAGCCTTTTGAAGTTGCACTGAAACTCTCATTTGGACCTTGAACCGTTTGGTTCCCATTGAAGTCCATTATATGGAGAAAAATCCTGGAATGTTTTCATCAAAAACCTTAATTTCTTTTCGACTGAAGAAAGATGTGTACATCTTGGATGACATGGGGGTGAGTCAGCAATATAGTGTCTCTCTCTCTCTCTCTCTCTCTCTCTATATATATAAATATATATATGTACTGTATGCTTATTTACAAATCTCCTAAAACTTTGAATATATTATAAATTGATGTGGATGTGTGTACTTGCTAAATTATAATTGTCTTTCCTAATGAAACATAGGCTTGCTCATCTACTTCTGTTATGGAATGCACTTCAGTGTACAGAAGAAACGAAATCAGTCTCCCAAACATCCCATCCCCGTCGAGACAATTGATGCTAAACTGGAGGACAAGCAAAGAAATGGATCCATTACATCGAACCTACAAACCAAGTTTTAAAGCCAACATTAGTCTCGTGCTTTGCACTTGGGACAGGGAAACTGTATATTAGCGGTACATTATTTTTTTTTTACTGAAATTTTAATTAATATGAGGATGAATTTGTATCACAAATTATAAAACAAAATGTTGTACACAGATGATGACCGAGACGGAGTCAGTCTCTTTTTGATAAAAGTCTGAACCTATATTATATATTCGTATTAGTACCTTTGAGGGTACAGCCCCAGTGTCAGTAGTTATTATTACATTATATATTTATTGCTATTGTTAATCATAAAGCCTAGATAACGGAAAATATGGAAGCACTATGCATCAACCCATGACATTTCTCTTTCTTTGTCACCGCTGTTACGTTCAAAGTTTGGCTTTTGAAGATCAATTCAAAAATGTACATAAATGCCATTAGCTAACAAATATGTTTTGTACATGTAACATATGTCACAAGGACACTGTAAAATAAAGTGTTATCAATTATTACTATGATTTTACTATGGTTGAACTATTGAGCTTGAAGTTGTGTAAGAGTAAAGACAATGAAATACTGAAAAAAGGCTGTAAGAGAGATGTGGTTGTGACCTGCCTAGCAAATAATATTTTTCCAGGCCTCTGTTACGACTGGAATTTTTTAATATATATATACATACTGTATATATACTGTATATATAAATAAACACACAAAATGATATCCAGTAGAGCCAGACCGATATATCGGCCGGCCGATATTAGGCATTTTCCATAATATCGGTATCGGCAGTTATAAATGACAGATGAATGAATATTTAAAAAATAAAATAAAAACGGACGAAACACGCTTCAATCATCTCTCCTTGGCCTGTTATATTGAAAAAGTATGTTTTACAATTTGCAGTATGATGTTATTTATTGCTAAATTATGGCTCATCATAGACAAGCTAATGCTATCATCAGTGGAAGACGGCTAACGTTAACATTAATGAGCTTGGAAACCACAATGAACTTTTCCTGCCTAAATAAAGTAATGATTACTGTATTTCTAACTAGCATATCTCTAGTTACAGTCCCTGCATTGTAAAATGTAAGTTATCCTTGCGAGGAGTGAACATTTAGACAGAGAGAAAAAGTATCAAACGTATCTTGTGCAGAAAAGTTCGCTTTTCTTTTACACGTGTGTGAAATCCAACAATATTTAATAAAAATAAATAATCGGCAAATATATCGGATTTTAAAACCCAAAAATATTTGTATCGGTATCGGCCTTCAAAGTCCTTTATCGGTCGGGCTCTAATATCCAGTGTTAAAGGAATAGTTCACAAAAAATGAAATTTACGTGAACTAACCCTTTAATCTCAATGAGACTTTTTCCAGAAAAATAAAGGTAAAAAAATACACAATATATACATATATATTATATTTATTTGATCAAAAATATTGCTAGAGACAATTCAGTAGTCACTGTATTTGGATAGGGACATGCATCAGTGTGTATCTACACTCATTTGGAGTTTCTTCAGAGATTTGTAATGAGTAAGCATCGGTTGTAGTCTACTGATGGGGTACAGAGAATTGTACAATAGCCTATTGAAACAATAGCCTATTGATAGCGATGGCAAAACACCTTTTCGTTCCATGGAGCCTTTATTTTAAGAAGCAAATAGTAAAACGCCACTACTAGGAGAAATTAAGGTGAAAAAATGCTGTTTTAATAAAGCTTAACTTAAAAACATCATTAAATCGATGCTCGTAACGTACACATTAATAACCGTCCCGTCCATAGACTAAACCAATTTTTTTTTTTTTTGTTCATTTAAAAATATAAACGTTAGGCTACAGTGTAAATCTGCACAGCAGATTAAAATATCTGTTGGGCTTCACTCAGCCTACAGAAAACTATTTGTTTTTGTGAATTAAAATCTAGCTTTGAACTGACACAGAGGGCCCTATTTTAACGATCTGAAACGCAAGTGTCAAAGTGCAAAGCGCAAGTAACTTTGTGGGCGGGTCTTGGGCGCTGTTGCTATTTAACCGGCGGGATAAATGCCTCTTGCGCCGTGCGCAAATCTACTTTCAAACTAATTTTATTTAATGAACAAATAATCTACCAGTCAAAAACTATTTTGGGCTTAATATTGAACTGATAAATGTGGTTGAATTAATATAAGCAGTTTGACTTCATATTGCCTTGAGCAGTGTGTGATTGTACTTTGCTGACTGAGAATCATGATTGGCCGTCGATTTAATGTCTGAAAAAAATTTCAGATTGCATTCATACACACATTCATACTTAAAGAGCATACTTTTTTTAGCGGCTGTGTAGTAATTAGTTAATCAAAATAACTACTCTAGAGAGTATGTGATTTCAGACGCACCCTTGTCTCTTTATCAGTCTTGCTCTCTCTCTCCATCTCTCTCCTCCCCCATCATGACTGGACACGCCCCCTACTGTTGATTGGCTTTCTAAAGCAGAAATTGCTCACTGCACCTTTAAGACATCAGCAGTCAGAATGTTACAATGACATAAGAAAAGTGATTAAAACAAATTACAGTATGGTGCAGTTAATAATACTGGAACATGGTGTCTATGTGGATTGCAGGCAAATGAATACTGGACTGTTTTCAGAGCAAATGCTCAATACTATGGACATGAAATGACCGTTCTCGGGCTGAGTGAGTATCCCAACAAAAGTATAATGCAATAAAACAAAGAAATGAAAGTCCTTTTTTTTCTCTCCATAGTAAGAACAATAGGTTCTACATGGATATGCTGAGGAATGTAAGAGCACAGCTGGATGCACATACGGGCCAACAGTGATTGATATGGACAAAACCATTGACTGATGAAGTCAATGGAGAGTGCTGAGACTGCGTTACTGATCTAACGGATGTGGGCAGGACAGCAGCCAATATTTTTTGCACAGAGTTCTCTCAGAGATTGCAATTAGTTAGTTTGCAGGAAGGCTTTTTATACAGTGTGCATAATGGAGGAATAGGAGAGCCACTTTAAAATAAAATTAAGTAGTAGACTAATTATTAAATCTTTTTAAGATAAAGAAAAGTCATGGGAAAACACATTTTTAAAAAGTAATTTTAATGCAAAAAAATGTAAATAAATAAATCTGTTTTTTTTTCCTTCAATTTGAACATTTATTTATTTAAAAAAATATATTGGTTGATTTTTTTTTTTAATTTTTAAGTGAATTGTGGCACTTTTAGCCTTCCATATAGCTAACATGTGGTGTGACATGCAGTACTCAAAACTGTTTTGAACTTTTTCTTTTTTTTTATTCTGGCCGGCTATAATTATTAAATTATGCAATTCTTCAGACAACACGAAATATATTAAGCCTACTTAACTATTAGAGCTCTGACATGTTCTGCAAAATAAAAATGAAAAAAAAAATGTTCTAATATATATATATATATATATATAACTAGAAATTAAATTAGCAACTAAATTAGCCTATACTTTCCCTTTTTACATAGGCGAATTAATGCAAAAAAAGGTTTATCATATGATGGATTATAAGCCAAATTTATATTTATATATTCAATTGAGTGTAAAGACAGTTACTTAAAAATAAATTGTGCATTTTGCACCTTTGTTGTATTCACTGAAAATTTATTTAGAAAAATTACCAACGTTCAGCATTTCAGAAGAGTAAAAAATATCTGCATTTGAACACAGATTTTATTACAGTAAAGATAATTTTATATCACGCGTGCCCTTATTGCATCACCCGACCGCATACATACACACAGAGACCGTGTTCGTCATGGCCTACTTTTCATGTACGCACACTGATGCTTTAATATGCTTTTTTTGGCTCGCTGCTTTACGCGTTTTACACACACTGCTGCAACATGTCAAGCCAATGATGAGCGCAATCGTGAGTTTACGTAACACTTACAGTCCAGCTCCAAGCCAACCCTCTCTCCATCGGCGAGCACGCGTGATGCTGTGGTTTGACGGATGCTGAGCTGGTTTCAGTCCCTCCCCCCTCACTGGCCCGCGGAGTGCTCATCCATGGTGCCAACAGACGGACATTACACGGGCGAGGAAAACAACAAACAGCCTCCATCATAGTGAGTAGATGCATCATATCTCACTGCATTGTCGGAACATTAGACTACATTACACTATCGGTTAGTGATGCGCAGTTGCATATTGTCATTCATTTTTTTACTAGAGTGCGTCAGGCTCAAGTTGGCGTTTTGGTCAGTTTGTTGCGGATAATCTCGATCAGATTGAGATTGTAGTCGATTTAAAACAGCGTAAATGATATGCTTTTGCTCGTTCATGTTACGTAGTGACTCGACTTGTGTTTCAGGGAAACCAATGAAGATTTAAAAATATATATAGACATATTTTTTTGTATGGCGTTATCAAATTGATCAATTTAGGCCATTTGGTGAGTTAAACACGGACAAAAATATTTGTCAATAGGGTTATAGTGTCAGAGTAAGCAGTAGCCAATGCTCTCATCTATTTTATAGGCACATAGTGTTTGAAAGTGAAATCTAGTCTATTCAGACGTGTGTGTGTGTGTGTGTTTCAGATTATCACCACTGCAGGTCCGTGTTAATGTGTCATGGCAAACAGGGGACCAAGCTATGGGCTTAGCCGTGAGGTCCAAGAGAAGATTGACCAGAAGTATAACGTGGAGCTGGAGACCCGGCTCGTGGAATGGATCCTGATCCAGTGTGGTGACGACTTGGAGCGACCCGAACCTGGCAAACAGAACTTCCAGAAATGGCTCATGAGTGGAACAGTATGTGCTTGGTTATATTAATGTCAGCAAATCATTTTTAACAAGGGGGGCCTGAAACAACACTGCATTTGTCATAAGATACACACTTAAAGGGATAGTTCACTTTGAAATTAATTTTTGATATGTTTTAGCTTACCTCAAGCTAGGGCATCCAAGACGTAGGTGTCTTTGTTTCCGCAGTAGTTTCAATTTTGATATTTTTCGGTCAAACCGTTCTTGTCTGTCAGTCATATAATGGAGGTCTATGGTCACCACCTCAAAGAGTATGCACAGACAAGTCCAAATTAAACATGATTTATTAGCTGCGTTTGAAATTGAAATTGCGAAATGAAAATACGCTCAATGGAAACACGTCAATTTCGCAAAACTCCAGTTTATCGCAAAAAAGTTTTTACGCTTGCATGAGGAGGTTTTTCAGGCAATTCGAAAAAGGATTTTTTCGCAATACTGCAATGGAAAAGGATTTTGCGCATTTACGGTCACCTGACTTAGAAGACGGTGTGTGTTTTAGGTCTGTATCCACAAATAATAATAATAATTATCATCATTAGCCTATTATAACATTTATAAGGCTACATATGTAGAAGACACTTTTATCCAAAAAAAGGAACAAAGCAATTCGTCACATCTCATTCATAGTACAGGTTATATATATGTACATTAGATCGAAAGATCTGAAAAACACATACCCGATTTACCCGCCTATAGACCCCCGCCACCTCGAAGACATCAGGACAGAAGTGGTTAAAAGTGGACAAAAGAGACGATTAAAACACCAGGTGTAAATGTGTCTACCTCGTCTACATGTGATCCGATCGACCCAAACGCATCTTAATACCAGGAGTAAACGGCATTAGTTTAAATGTATGGTTAGATCCCTCAAAGCATTCACTTTGCTGATGATGGAAAAGTACACATTTTTGAATAAGTAATGTTGAAAGTAACAGTGTACAAGTATTAGAACATACTGTGTTGCCATGACATTGTCTTGATACCACACAACTAGTGTTGACTCGTCCAGACTGCAAATTCCAGGCTCAACTAAATTTAAGTAAGATATAAAGTAAATCCAGACGGTTGTTATCACAGAATAAACCCTGACAGGGTGATCAGGACTCCCGACGCGAAGCTTTAGTCATCACTAGGACTAAGACTACATGTTCCTCCTTTCTCCCTTCCCTCTCTTAACCCCATCCCAGATTCTCTGCCGGCTCATCAACAGTCTATACCCCAGCGGTGAGGAACCAGTTAAGAAAATTACAGAAACTAAAATGGTCTTTAAACAAATGGAGAAGATTTCTCAGTTCCTGCAGGCTGCCGAAGAATATGGTGTTAACAGGGGAGACATATTCCAAACTGTTGATCTTTGGGAAGGTAAAACACACACACACACACACACACACAGCAGTTTGTTTGAATATACACTTAAAGTTTTAAAGTTATAAAGTTTTTTTATTGGTATTGATGGTTCAATTTTAAAATATATTCAAATATGTTAGATTTTAAAGTGTAAAAATATTTCACTATATTAATGTTTTTGCCAGCCTAAATGTACTGTAGAAAGTCAGTAAAATAAAGTAAAATTTACATTTAAAGGGGTCATGAAGATAGAAATAAAATTTTCCTTGAGGTTTTGACATTATTTACACTGAAGTCTCACAGCCAATCACAGCAGTGGGCGTTTACACTGAAGTCTCACAGCCAATCACAGCAGTCGGCGTTTACACTGAAGTCTCACAGCCAATCACAGCAGTCGGCGTTTACACTGAAGTCTCACAGCCAATCACAGCAGTGGGCGTTTACACTGAAGTCTCACAGCCAATCACAGCAGTGGGCTTTACACTGAAGTCTCACAGCCAATCACAGCAGTGGGCGTTTACACTGAAGTCTCACAGCCAATCACAGCAGTGGGCGTTTACACTGAAGTCTCACAGCCAATTGCAGCAGTGGGCGTTTACACTGAAGTCTCACAGCCAATCACAGCTGTGGGCGTTTACACTTAAGTATCACAGCCAATCACAGCAGTGGGTGTTTACACTTAAGTATCACAGCCAATCACAGCAGTGGGCGTTTACACTGAAGTCTCACAGCCAATCACAGCTGTGGGCGTTTACACTTAAGTATCACAGCCAATCACAGCAGTGGGCGTTTACACTTAAGTATCACAGCCAATCACAGCAGTGGGTGTTTACACTGAAGTCTCACAGCCAATCACAGCAGTGGGCTTTACACTGAAGTCTCACAGCCAATCACAGCTGTGGGCGTTTACACTTAAGTCTCACAGCCAATCACAGCAGTGGGCTTTACACTGAAGTCTCACAGCCAATTGCAGCAGTGGGCGTTTACACTGAAGTCTCACAGCCAATCACAGAAGTGGGCGTTTACACTGAAGTCTCACAGCCAATCACAGCAGTGGGCGTTTACACTTAAGTATCACAGCCAATCACAGCAGTGGGCGTTTACACTGAAGTCTCACAGCCAATCACAGCTGTGGGCGTTTACACTTAAGTATCACAGCCAATCACAGCAGTGGGTGTTTACACTGAAGTCTCACAGCCAATCACAGCAGTGGGCTTTACACTGAAGTCTCACAGCCAATCACAGCAGTGGGCGTTTACACTGAAGTCTCACAGCCAATCACAGCAGTGGGCGTTTACACTGAAGTCTCACAGCCAATCACAGCAGTGGGCGTTTACACTGAAGTCTCACAGCCAATCACAGCAGTGGGCGTTTACACTGAAGTCTCGCAGCCAATCACAGCAGTGGGCGTTTACACTAAAGGCCATTGCACACTGAGTATGAAATTTTCGCATGCGTTATTTCGTGTTCGTCAGCCTAAAAATTTGTCACGCACAGAAACCTTGCACACGTATTTAGTCTGATGCGTATTTATTAAACCTTTGCGGGAAAAAACGCAAAAATACAAAATGGATTCGTCAGTGAGGATGATTTTGTCATCCTCTCTCTTATTGAAAAGAGAAGAAAGAGAAAATATTGCGTATATCCAATCCTGAAATTGCGCCGAGATGGTTTTGAGTGGTTGTTATCTGGGAATAACTTACCGCTGAATGATGCGATTGACCAATCAGAATTAAGCATCGAACTGAGCCGTGTAATAAAAAATAATAAAACATTGCAGTTCATGAATCATGGCCCCTTTAAATACATTTTCCACTATATCGTCATGAATTATTTATAAAACGCCTCAGCTTGCACTGGGATCAATATCACCTTGTCAGGGTTTAATTTTGTGATGATCAGTTGACTGACTGTACATTATCCTTTATATTAAACTTACATTAACTCTTAGGTATGGTTCAAAAACTTACAGTAACTTGTTAAGTGAGAAGTTTGTTAAGTGATGTGTCCTGTTTCGAAGCATTTATGTTATCTGGAAATGGGCAAATGATTTAGCCGAGTTATACGCATTCCTAGGTAAACGTATTTTGCTGATCCTGGAATAACATTCCTGTCCGAAAATGTAGTTCATATCCCTAAACCCTATCCATAAGTTACCCCTAAAAGCAGAGTAAAATGATGGTGAATAACACTGATGTAGAAGCACTCAACCCTGTCTGGAAGCCTAAACTTGACATAAACTGTAAACTTGTCCCTTAAATCTGATTGGTTGATTGGAAAGTTGGTCCAGAATCAACAAAGATGTCGATCCAGGAACATGTTGTACTTGGTGAAATCAGGTTCTGCTGGTGTATAAATGAAATTACAAGATGCCTTTGCCAGGCGTAGTGTCACAGGAATCATGTTCATGTTTTAAAGGAAAGGACTTGGCGGCGGTCCAGAGGACACTGACGGCTCTGGGAAGCGAAGCTCTCACAAAGGATGATGGACATTACCGCGGGGACAAGGACTGGTTTCACAGGTGAGCTGGACAGAGAAAGGGTGTTAGTCATTTGCACTCGGCCCAGGGATGGACTGAGAGGGCAAACATTCAGCCTTCTCTGCTGGTGTAAAACGTCTAAAAATAAATACATATTTTGTCCTCTTTTTATTCTAATTTATCTTTATTTGCATATGCACTTTCCAGATTCTGTCTTTGTGTACAAACCGAAAGTTGACCTAATCAAAACGTATCCATCACTTAAAGGGATACTCCACTTTTTTTGGAAATAGGCTCATTTTACAACTCCCCCAGAGTTAAACCGTTACCGTTTTTGAATCAATTCAGCCGATCTCCGGTTTTGGCGGTACCACTTTTAGCATAGCTTAGCATACATTAGCCATTAGCTAAGACCATTAGCATTTCTAAAACAAAAATGATTATAAAGTGTTTCGATATTTTTCCTATTTAAAACTTGACTCTTCCGTAGTTACATCGTGCGCTAAGACCGACGGAAAATGTAAAGTTGCGATTTTCTGATATGACTAGGAACTATACTCTCATTCCTGCGTAATAATCAAGAAATGTTACTGCCGTTAGAGCCCGACCGATAAAGGATTTTGAAGGCCAATACCGATACAAATATTTTTGGGTTTTAAAATCCGATATTCCGATATATCGGCCGATATTTTCTTTTATTAAATATTGTTGGATTTCACACACGTGTAAAAGAAAAGCTAACTTTTCTGCACAAGATACGTTTGATACTTTTTCTCTATGTCTAAATGTTCACTCCTCGCAAGGATAACTTACATTTTACAATACAGGAACTGTAACTAGAGATATGCTAGTTATAAATACAGTAATCATTACTTTATTTAGGCAAAAATAGTTCATTGTGGTTTCCAAGCTCATTAATGTTAACGTTAGCGGTCTTCCACTGATGATAGTGGCATTAGCTAGCTTTGTGGTCATACTGCAAATTGTAAAACATACATTTTCAATATAACAGGCCGAGGAGAGATGATTGAAGCGTGTTTCGTCCGTTTTTATTTTATTTTTTAAATATTCATTCATCTGTCATTTATAACTGCCGATACCGATATTATGGAAAATGCCTAATATCGGCCGATATATCGGTCTGGCTCTAACTGCCGTACCATGAGTGCAGCAGGCGTAATGATATGACACAGCGCCTGAAAATAGTCTACCTTATGTCAACATAACTACACAAACTTAGTCCCGGTCACGTTGGAAGTTAGCGAGCTGGGGACTATTTTCAGGCGCTGTGTCATATCATTTTTTTTTTTTTTGAGAAATGCTAATGGTCTTGTCCACTTCAATGATGTATGCTAAGCTATGCTAAAAGTGGTACCGCCAGAACCGGAGATCAGCTGAATGGATTCAAAAACGGTAAAACTCAACAGTTTAACTCTGGGGGAGTTGTAAAATCAGCCTATTTCCAAAAAAAGTGGAGTATCCCTTTAAGAGCTTGCAGAATTGCCAACAGTGTGCAAACGAATCGAATCTATATTCCGATGAATCAGCCAATCAGAGTTTTATTTGTACCTGGTTGATGTAGTCTGTGCAGAGGCTGTCTGGCTGGCATTAAATCGATCGCGCATAAAGTAATGTAGCTAATTAGAGTAGGAGACGTTCTGTAAGAACTGCTGATGTATTAAAAATGAAAGGGCTTTTTATTGGTAAGTGCCAATATATGGTTTACTTAAGTTAAAATAGGCTTTTGTTTCAGAGCCATTGCTTTGTGGGCAGCACTATGACATATAAAGAACGTTTTATCTCATAATTATAACAGTACGTCATAATATTTAATTACAACTTTTTATCTCAGTGACTTTTTAATCTATCAGTTTTGACATAATATTGACCTAGAATGTCCTAATTTTGACCTTATAATAATGACTTTAATATCATAATGTTAACTGCTATGTAATAACGACTTATTGTTCCATAATTTAAAGGGGTCATGAACTGGCTTTTTAAATTTTACTATACTGTTATGACGTTCGCTTGGTTTTTACATTCAACAAAAATCAAAATGAATAAGTAATAGGCTATTTTCTACCCTTGTTTTGAGCCTAGCTGAAAAATGCTTGTTTTTATTGGCGTCTCACACTGAAGACTTGGAAGTAAACGCCCCGCCCACTGCTGTGAGAAGATAACAGTTTTGCATATTATAATGAGTTTCAACTCACCCGTCGATGCACGTGGGGGTCCAATGTTGTAAAATGGCATCTGGAATGATTCGCCCATACATGTTGGACCCAGAGTCTGTGTGTTGCACCATTCCTGTCAGATCCAATATAGACGGCACAGCACCGTTCTTTACTCTTAATCGGTCTGCAAATCCAGTCTTGTTTACAAAACAATCCTCAGGGAAATGAAGCGAACAGAGTCAGGGGGTGGAGCTGGGTAGGTTTAGGCGTGGTTTCAGGGATCGGGGGTGGAGCTGGGTAGGTTTAGGGGTGGGGTTAGGGATTGGGGGTGGAGCTGGGTGGGTTTAAGGGTGGGTTTAGGGATCGGGGTGGAGTTGTGTAGGTTGAGGGGTGGTTTCAGGGATCGGGGGTGGAGCTGGGTAGGTTGAGGGGTGGTTTCAGGGATCGGGGGTGGAGCTGGGTAGGTTTTGGGGTGGTTTCAGGGATCGGGGTGGAGCTGGGTAGGTTTAGGGGTGGGTTTAGGGATCGGGGTGGAGTTGTGTAGGTTTTGGGTGGTTTCAGGGATCGGGGTGGAGTTGTGTAGGTTGAGGGTGGTTTCAGGGATCGGGGGTGGAGCTGGGTAGGTTTTGGGGTGGTTTCAGGGATCGGGGGTGGAGTTGTGTAGGTTTTCGGGTGGTTTCAGGGATCGGGGGTGGAGCTGGGTAGGTTTTGGGGTGGTTTCAGGGATCGGGGTGGAGCTGGGTAGGTTTAGGGGTGGTTTCAGGGATCAGGGGGTGGAGTTGTGTAGGTTTAGGGGTGGGTTTAGGGATCGGGGTGGAGTTGTGTAGGTTTTGGGGTGGTTTCAGGGATCGGGGGTGGAGCTGGGTAGGTTTAGGGGTGGGGTTAGGGATCAGGGGTGGAGTTGTGTAGGTTTAGGGGTGGGTTTAGGGATCGGGGTGGAGTTGTGTAGGTTTTGGGGTGGTTTCAGGGATCGGGGTGGAGTTGTGTAGGTTGAGGGGTGGTTTCAGGGATCGGGGGTGGAGCTGGGTAGGTTTAGGGGTGGGGTTAGGGATCAGGGGTGGAGTTGTGTAGGTTTAGGGTGGTTTCAGGGATCGGGGGTGGAGCTGGGTAGGTTTAAGGGTGGGTTTAGGGATCGGGGGTGGAGTTGTGTAGGTTTAAGGGTGGGTTTAGGGATCGGGGGTGGAGTTGTGTAGGTTGAGGGGTGGTTTCAGGGATCGGGGGTGGAGCTGGGTAGGTTTAAGGGTGGGTTTAGGGATCGGGGGTGGAGCTGGGTAGGTTTAAGGGTGGGTTTAGGGATCGGGGGTGGAGTTGTGTAGGTTGAGGGGTGGTTTCAGGGATCGGGTGTGGAGCTGGGTAGGTTTAGGGGTGGATTCAGGGATCAGGGGGTGGAGTTGTGTAGGTTGAGGGGTGGTTTCAGGGATCGGGGGGGGGGGGCTGGGTAGGTTTAGGGGTGGGTTTAGGGATCGGGGTGGAGTTGTGTAGGTTTTGGGGTGGTTTCAGGGATCGGGTGTGGAGCTGGGTAGGTTTAGGGGTGGTTTCAGGGATCGGGTGTGGAGCTGGGTAGGTTTAGGGGTGGATTCAGGGATCAGGGGGTGGAGTTGTGTAGGTTTAGGGGTGGTTTAGTGGCGAACAGATCAGCTGGAACGTCAATAAAAATAAAGTTCTTTTGAATCCAGAGGAAGCTTATGTCTTCTTCCACGACCAGGCACTGCACAATATTCTGTATTGCTCGGTAGATCGATCCAGTTTGTCATCACGAGGTAGGCATCTATTTTTTTTTTAGCTATGCGCGAATCAGTGGGCAGGGCTAAACCGGCCGGGTTGATCTTCTTCTGCGGGGGTGGTGTTTTATCCTCTTTGACGTCATAGTTCCCCACTTTGAAAAACGAGTCGTTTGCTGAGCCTGGTGTCAATAAAAGCTTATTGGACTAACAAGGACGTTTTCAGTTCTGAAACTTACAGGATATTCTTATAATATGATGACCTCTTAGATGTCAAAAGCTCAAGGAAAATTTGATTTCTCAGTTCATCACCCTCATAATTATGATTTACTAAAGCATTTTTTTTTTCTTATGTTGCGGAATTGGGCTTCCATTACGTCTTTCATGAGCAGAAGATGTTATTAGATTGCAAAGACCTCTTTTAAATTACATAATAAGCAGCAATTCTTACAATTGTGAAATCACAAAAGGCACTTATGAAGAAGGAAAAATTACTGGTAAGGTTCATCACTTACCAGAGCACAGACGTTTCCCAGTCATTTATTAGCTGTCCTTGTCTGCAAACTGGACTTTCTGGCAGTAGTCAAAAGTCTGGATTAATCATCTCGCACATCACACACTTTCTGCATTTAAATCTTTTGGAATTGTGTTTTAGGAAAACCAGGGGCCACAAGCGGGAGTTTTCAGAGGAGCAGCTGCGTCAAGGCCGGAGTCTTATCGGGATGCAGATGGGAAGCAATCGTGGAGCATCTCAAGCTGGCATGTCAGGGTACGGCACCCCGCGGCAAATCATGCGGTACGACTCTCCTCGACACAATGGAGATCAGAGCAATCCCTAAACACGGAGCCGAAACTAGTGCTCCAGTTGTGGGATGAATGTGTACATGTGTATAGATATACAGTGAACTAAAGTTGCGCTTAAACCAGTCCTAGTGTTGTCCCTTCACCCACAATGCACCAGTGCCGTCTGTTATTGTTTCTCAGGCAAGCTGCAGATTTTGTCCAATATGTGCAAAATAAATTAAATATTAGAATCAACTATATTAAAGGGATAGTTCACTTTGAAATTAATTTTTGATATGTTTTAGCTTACCTCAAGGGCATCCAAGATGTAGGTGTCAATTTTGATATTTTTAGGTCAAACCGTTCTTGTCTGTCAGTCATATAATGGAGGTCTATGGTCACCACCTCAAAGAGCATGCACAGAGAAGTCCAAATTAAACATGATTTAATGACTCGTAAATGTAAGTACACATCGATGGCCTAAGACACGAAACGAGCCGTTTGTGTGAGAAAACAAAAAGTATTTATATCGTTTTTACCTCTTGTAACCACAGTCACGTCCAAGTGATCTGAGGGCGAGGGCGAGGGCGATTCTATCTGCGCCCCAGAAGTGATCTCTCGCGTGTGTACGTCACTCATTGTTTACACAGAGATTTCGGAAGTTTTACCCTTCACTGTGAAGATGAGTGACGTACATGCGCGAAAGATCACTTCCTGGGCTTTCCGGCGCGCTTGCGCAGACCGAAGCGCCCGCTCCCTCAGAGATTAATGGACATGACTGTGATTACAAGAGGTAAAAACGATATAAATACTGTTCGTTTTCTCACTTAAACCGCTCGTTTCGTGTCTTAGGCCATCAATGTGTACTTACATTCACGAGTCGTTAAATCATGTTTAAGTTGGACTTCTCTGTGCATGCTCTCTGAGGTGGTGACCATAGACCTCCATTATATGACTGACAGACAAGAACGGTTTGACCTAAAGGATCAGGATGCCCTACATCAGGGGTAAGATAAAACATACCAAAACTTAATTTCAAAGTGAACTATCCCTTTAAATACTATTAATACTCAACTTGTAGCCTTTTACAAATTGTAAGCTGACAATCTGGTACCCCTTGATCTAACATCCATTTACAAGTGCATATTTGGCTGATGCTTTTACCCAAAGCAACTTAAAAGTGCACTCAAGGTGTAGTGTCCTGGGAAGCATGCATGCCGTGCAATAGGAACATTCAAAAGAAAAGTCTATTTTTAACTTAAAGCCATATGATGTATCAGTGTGTCAAGATATACATGTATTTGGTGGAGGTAATACTGTGCTATTGCTGTCAGATGTACACTATTATTGACGTATACCATCTAACTACAAAGGTTACTGTTCCTGCTACCAGAACGTGCCCAAAATGTTATTGATGTGCATAATTTTTCTGATGTCACTGTAAAGATCTGATGCTATACATTCCAGTGGTGTGAGAAAAGATGTCAAATTGATATGAAATTGTTGCAATGCATTAACTAACGTGCATGTAAAGTAAATGTGCTTACGATGCTAAGATTGTATTACACCATCACTGTTTGTGGAGCGTCATGTTTTATCCATATACAGAACCTTTGACAATCAAAAAAATGTCCAATTGTCATGATTGAAATATAGTTCAAGATGTTTGGCTATTTAGTTCAATGTTTCTTGTTTTTAAATCCACTACATTTATTTGTTAGAAAAATTGAGTTCAATTGACACTTTTAATCACACTTCATTATTTATTTAGTAAAGTATTAGTTTTAGTTGATCTGTTGTAAATGTATTTTTTATAAGGCGTGTTTACATGCACGGATTTCGATTTCAGTTTCTATATGAACTCCAAACTTTGCAATCTGATTTACATGTGCATTACATGTGTTATTAACATATAAAAAAACAATAATACATAAGTTTGACACTGCGCAAAGATTTTTTTTTTAATCAGATTGAGTAAATAGTAAGATTCAAGCATTTACATGCTTATTTTCTCCCATTTATCGGATTATTTCAGGTCAATCCCACCAAAATGTATTGGTACTGAGCACGGTCGGATCGATTGTGTTGTTCATATGAATGCTGATTACTAACGGATCATTTGGTTGCATTTAAACGTAGATATTTTGACTCAATGGGGTTTGATTGTATTGAAAAGAGAGAAAATTAGTCTAAACTTTTAAACGTGTGCACAAATATCTATCAAACTGTTGCAACTGTATCTTGCCGTTCATAAGTAGTTACTTTGTTGTCCGTGCAACATCATTTTGTTTGAATCGGAACATCTTCCTTTGGCGCAAATCACAATACATTTACACAAAAGATAATAACTATTCACAAATGTGGCACTATTTGTACAAATCAATGCACGTTCATTTAATTTTGACCTTCACAGACAAAGGTTGCAAGAAATAATGTCTTGGTTTGTGGTAAGATACATTCGTAACATTTTTTAACCCTCTAGGGTCCTTCGGCCCAAATGGACCCGAAGAATTCAAATAAAATTTTTCTTAAAAATCACAGCTTCCTCTGAATGGTCCGAAATTTTGTGAATTTGTTGGTATTTGGTATATGAACACCCAAACAAAATTGGGGACAGGATGTGAATACTCTAAGTGGTTGTAAAAAAAATAGTCACACTCAGGACCTTCGGGTCCAAATGCACCCGCATGGAAAATGAATGGGAAATTGGCAAAAATGTGAAAATACTGAGCTTTTTTGTGCGTACAATCTACAAACAGTGAAGGGGTGAATCTATAAAACATCAAGAGTAGAAAACACACTTTTATACACAAACACACCAAAAAAATTCGATTATACAGTGTTTTGCATTTTTAAAATGCTCAGTTTGTCCACCAGATGGCATCCATCTCATTTCAAAAATTGCTTTTATGAGGCCTAGGCTTGACTCTAAAATGAAAGACAACTTTAATTTTTTTATTTTATTTTTTTTAAATATTTTTTCTATTATATTCAATGGGGGGAAATTTGGTCATAATTATTGCATTAATACTAATTATAAAAAAATATATATATTTTTGACATTTTCTCAAAACACCAAAAAAGAAAAGAAAAAATATTATAAAATACAAGCAAAAAAAAAAATTATGAATTTTTTTTTTTAAATATGAATCCCGCCCTTTGGGTCCATTTGGATCCGAAGGTCCCGAGTGTGACTGTTAAACGAACAACCCCAGAGGGTTAAACTGATGGAAAATTGTACACGCATTCATAAATGATGTCAAGATGATGATGTTCAGAGCCAATGCTGTGAGGTTTAACTGTTTTAGATGTTGATCAGTGTTATTGTGCGCACCGCACGCACTCACACACTATTACAGATCATGCTTGCCTTGCATAACTAAAGAGCTTTTATCAAGCTATGATACAGGTGAGAGTAAACGTACCTGACGGTAAACAAACTTGAGTTTATTTCATGAGCTTAGTGTAACACTCTACTTCATTCTGTTTACTAATGCACATCCAAATCATTACAATGACTCCATCATTTTATCCACACGCATTTCTCTCTCACACACATTCACTCTTGCAAGCGCTTTCATAAACAAAACTTTTGAACAGAAAGAATGTCGAAACTCACTGGAATGAAAACAAATTAAAAAAACATAATGAATCAAAAGTACAACGTCTCTGTCTTTTCATGATCACCCTTTTCCTCAACCGTCCAGGTGTCCGTCTGCCGGTTCCACTACTTCGGCGTGTTTGAGCTGAAAATCAAAGCGATGTAAATGTAAGTTCATCCACACAACCAGCACAAGACGCATAGGAACTTGAAACCCATCTTACTTCTATTATCTGATTATAATAATAATAATTTATATAGCGCTTTTCTGGGTACCCAAAGCACTTTACTTAGAAGGGGGAAATGTACTGTTATGCAATACAGAGTGAAACGGGTAAAGTGGCTTTTAAAATGTTTTTCACTTGGGAAAGTAATTTATATATTATTAGGGGTGTAATGGTTCAGATTTATCACAGTTAATTGAGGTCGGGAATTTACATGATTAAAAAAATCAAATGGACCCGAAGAATTTAAATAAAAACTTTTTTAAAAATCACAGCTTCCTCGGAATGGTCCGAAATTTGGTGACTTTGTTGGTATTTGGTATTTGAACACCCAAAAAAATTGGGGACAGGATGTGAGTAGTCTAAGTGGTTGTAAAAAATAGTCACACTCAGGACCTTCGGGTCCAAATGGACCCGCATGGAAAATGAATGGGAAATTGGCAAAAATGTGAAAATACTGAGTTTTTTTGTGCGTACAATCTACAAATCAGCCACGATCTTGAAAAAAAGCACACAACAGTGAAGAGGTGAATCTATAAAACATCAAGAGTGCAAAACAGACACATCCCCACACACACACACACACACACACTTTTATACACAAACACACCAAAAAATTCAGATTATACAGTGTTTTGCATTTTTAAAATGCTCAGTTTGTCCACCAGATGGCATCCATCTCATTTCAAAAATTGCTTTGACTCTAAAATGAAATACAGCTTTAAAAAAATGTGTAAAAAATTGTTTAAATATTTTTTCTATCATGTTCAATGGGGGGAAATTTTGTCATAATTATTGCATTAATACTAATTATAATTTTTTTTTATTTTTGAAATTTTCTCAAAACACCAAAACAGAAAAGAAAAAATATTATAAAAAATGAGTAAAAAAAAAAAAAATCAGGATTTTTTGATGTTAAAAATGTTTATTAATATGTCCTGATTTATGGTTCATATTCATAATTCGTCTGTTGTTGGCAGTTTACAGGGCAATGTTTCCAAGCACTTTCATACTGAAATAAATGCTGTTTTCATTTACATTACAATGCCTAGTAGCTACTATGTCTATTTAACGGTCGCGGGCAGGGGCGGGCCAAATCATTTCATAAAAGCAAGACCCGCGGGTTTGAAAAAAGCAGACCCGAGCATCACTAATGTGCATGTGTTTTCTTTTACAGGTAAAATGGGCCAAAAGGAGAGATTTAACTCGCACTGACAAGTAAAAAAAAATTGAATGTCCATGAGGAGGTTACAAAACTACAGAAATTGCAAAAAAAGGTGACCATTGGGTAAGAAATGCGTCAAAAAAAAAAAAACGTGGAGAAGAAAAGACTTTTCACAGCCCGTTTTATAATCTATTGTAAGTCTATTACAGTCACCTTGAAGTTGTTGTGATGCTCCAGGCTGCGGCAGTGCTGGGATTTTGCTTTGCTCTCGTCGGTGTAGAATATGTTACAGAGCTTGCAGAAGAAACCAGTTACTGGGATGACGTAGTCCACACCTGAAATAATGCGAGAAGTGTTTAGTGTTTATTGCTTGCACACTAAATCACAATCCATTGCCATAAACATTTTAAACCATTAGAAATACATTATGTTTTAAATGAAGATCCAGTGGTTATAAGTGTGTGATGGACTTACCCACAATGTGGTCAGATTGAGAAGGGCTCAGAGGGGTTTTCTCCTGTTGATTAACCTCTTCTGAACCTTTCCCTTCACAAACTGAATCCCCACCAACACCTTCACAATCCGGTAGAGAACTTTGCTGGCTCTGCAAACACATAATATATCTTATTGACACCATATATGCATGACACTTGGCTGCTTTTACTTTCCTTTCAATTAGTTTGAAAATGTAAATCAAAAGTTTAGTTCTGCATGTAAGCATGACACTTTAGATCAGAAATTTTATGAGAAACCCTGGGCGGACAATCAATCAATCATTCATTTTCTTAATATTTCTAAGATCATGAGAACAGATTCTGTCAAATGTGTCCAACATGTGTGATGTTCACCTCCTTTGCGTCACTCTTGATTTCCTGGTCATTTCCTGTTCTTTCAGAGCTTGGTTTAATTTGTTTTTCCTCCTTTTTTAACTCTTTCTCCTCAGCTTCTTCTGAAGTGTATGTCCTGTAATAATAATAGAGCAAACAAAATGAAGTCATCGAAAATTATTTCTGTTACTTTCACAATGGTTGTCACAAGTTGCACGAAACATGGTCAATTTTTTTCTGTTGTCTAACGACTGATGCCACTTTGTAAGTCACTTAATGTCAGTGCCATTTATTAAAAAAAACAGCACAAGCAAACATTTCAAACTAGGGGTGTGTTTACACTTAAAAACGAACCAAAAACAGGACATGATGTCACAAGATGCGACACTAACAAGGACAGAATGCTGAAGGATTTTCTCGTTGTAGTCGCGATGTTGCCGAAGGGATTCCCGACGCTGTTTTGACACATTTTATAAGCTCTTCATAAGTTCCCAGCTGGTCAGAAGGAATACCATCATATGTTGCTACACATATCCAACGAGTGCATTTATCCCAGAGCACCGCATTGTTTTGGATGTTCGGTAAGTTCCGTCTCGAAATATACAAAATAAAAGCTGACCTATTAGGTTGTGAACACATCCCTATGCCATTAAACTGACCAAGACCAAATTAGCTAAGAAAATTGAACTACAGGTCTTTACCATTTTATATTTTTTATTTATTTATTTATTTATTGGGGGCGGTAATACTCCTAATTTATCGGTAATACTCCTAAGCGGTGAGCAGCCGGTAACAAAAAGTAGTCGAAGGAGAAGAACGTCCTCGTCTCAGTTCTCGCGCATGCGCCCATAAGGAAGTGATATAATAGTCGAATTAAGTCGTTATTTATGTTTTTTTTCGCACAAAAAGTAGTCTCGTCACTTGATAAACTTATAATTGAGCCGCTGTAGGCACATGGCATATTTAAACCTTTTCTTTAATGACTTTATGGGTCGTCAAGAGCCAGTCCCTTAGGCATCCTATGTAGGACTGATCTAGCTCTCAGATTCAATCAAAAATATCTTTATTTGTGTTCCGAAGATGAACGAAGGTCTTACGGGGTTGGTACAGCATGGGGGTGAGTAATTACTGACTTAATTTTCATTTTGGGGTGAACTAACCCTTTAAGTATGAAAGAATAGGTCTATAATAAAATTAATAATAAGGTTAGTAATAATAATAATAATAATAATAGAGGAGCAGCGTTAATGTTCACAGTGTTGGTTATGTAGAAGCCATTTCTTAAAATTAAGCTTAAAAGAGTTAAATGATGAGCACTCTCTAATTGGTTGAGGTACTGTATTCCACTGATGTGAAGCTTTGTATGAGAAAACAGCTTGACCGAACGATGTTTTCCTACGTGGAATTATACAATCCGCTCTAATTGCACCTCTTGTAAATATGTCATATATATATATATATATATATATATACATACAGTCGTGACCAGAATTAATAATACCCCTGGTAAATATGATAAAAAAAATGGCAGTAAAAAATTAATCTGCATCGTTTATCCTTTTGATCTTTCATTCAAAAAATTGGCAAAATCCTAATCTTTCGTTTAAGAAAAAGAATTGAAAGTGGGGGGGAAATCACATTATAAAATAAATGTTTTTCTCCAAAACATGTTTTGTGAAACATGTCTGTGTAGGCTTTTACATAAACTAAAAGAAAAGCTTATATTCTGACTAGCTTGCTCGTTTTATTTATTTATAAAACCTAGTTTTACCCAAAATGAATAATTAAGACAAGTTTAAATGGCTAAATCTTGTCTTTTTCTTTTCTGACGTAGCCTACTCCAGTTCTTGTTAACACACACTAGACATGCAAATTCTGTGCATTTGTCACTTTTTGTGTGAAATCATATTTATTTTCTCCATCAAAAGTGTGCTTTTACCTTAAATGAGCGTGAGCACAACAAAAATAGAATCCTTCACTGCTGCTTACGCGACGCTCCTCCTCGCGGTGTGAATGCAGTCATTGATTATTCACATAGACATATACACTAGACCTCACCTTGGGGTTCTAAGCATGCGGCAAAACCGCCGCCATCTTGGAACAGGGGTCTTGTCATAGGAAGTAGCTAGCTAACGCTGCTATCTCTGCCTTTACTTCGAATTCATTGATGGTGGCGGACTTTTGTGCAGCGTATAATGTTCACGGATGTTTTTAAAAAAAATAATAATAATAATTTTTTCTTTCTGGAATCAATGATAAATACATGTCTGACCGTTGGAACAAACCAAAAAAAACAAGAAAAATCGCATTCATGATGATTTATGGTGATTTTATATCCGTTAGACCTGTGTCTGCTACATTGACGCTGATGCATTAAAGTGGAGGGGCTCTCCTGTTTCAAGATGGCGGCTCTATTGACGCATTTGTTTTAAATGAACTGCCGAAGCCAAGGTGAGGTCTAGTGTATATGTCTATGGATTATTCATGCAAGCCGAAAAAGATAAGCGCTACACGCTTGCGGTGGCCGCAAATCCCGCGATCAGCTCTGGGGGTTAAACGGCCGTCACGCTTTTTCTGTCAGTGGTATAGAGTACCGGCTACATGCGAGAAGTAGCGGTACGCAACAAAAAGTGCAGGTACGCTTAAGAGAAAAATGTAGAAGTGCCGGAGTACCGCCCCACTTCGAGCACTGATTCAACTCCAAATACAAGGATGAAAATGTATTGAGTCATATGTGCATCCACTTTATTCAGCGACGGGTAATGAGAACATGATTGATTTCAGAGTTACATTGAAGTGAGAGAGACACATTCACCTACCAACGAATCATAGAGTCTCCCTTCCTGCTCATGACTATCTTCAGGATAGACCCCCAAAATTTGCAAGGCCGTCGTTTGTACCGCGCAACCATACGTTGAGCTGCCTTTGCACTTTCAAATTGCATGTAACACTGAGAAGGAACAAGAAAGGGACGGCTCAGGAAAAATAAATCGCAGTGTCTAAAACAGCTACTCATCATAGATAGTGATGGGGGGGGTGTATACGTACCGTTGCTTGATGCTCGGCTAGAGAGTAGGCAGTCAGTTTTCCAAAGGGCTTACCCAGATTTAAAAGGGATTCCTTTGTGTATTTATGTTGAAATCTTTGGTTGGGAAGACCGCTGATGAAAACTGATCTCCAACTAGGGCTCTAAAAAGGGTATGAGGGATTGAGAAACACACAACAAATGTTTTAGTTCAATTGAGAGCTGCAGGGATGACATTTTTGTTGGCCAAAACCTGGAATCGTGATTCCAAATCTCAAAGTCAATGAGGTTTTTTTTTTTTGGTTAAATGCTTGGATTAAGGTCAGTGTGGTGATCACAAGCTCAAGACACTTTCACATTTTATTCTACGGCATAAAATACATCAGTCAAACTCCCTTTGTGATTTTTAAAGCTGTTACGCGTCTTGAAAAAGTGTCTAAATGGGACTCCAGATGTTGTCGGGACATCAAACATCGTCAAACTGAACAGATAAACTCATCTACTCAACTAGTCGCTTTCACAGCCTCGTTGCATTTATAATCACGGTTTTGCAAACTGAATGGTGGCGATGTTGAAGTCATGTTACCGTGGTGTAGTTTGTTTATAGCCCATGTTTAGCTTTCGACTTCTGCCAATTATATTTACACTTCAAAATTCACAAACGTTGTGTTCATATATAAAGATTGGGGGCAGCAAGCGATTTCTGAGAAATGATACACAGGCTGCTCTTTTTTATATCTTTATATTTATCATCTTAAAGTCCCCCTGTAGTCAATAATTGTATCCCTTAAAACTCATCACTGAACACTTAAAATTAAATATTTAAACGAAAAATCTTCACGCCTTAAAGGGTTAGTTCACCCAAAAATGAAAATTCTGTTTTAATCAAACAAATCTCAATCCCCATTGACTTCCATAGTAGGAATACTATGGTAGTCAATGGGGAATGAGATCTGTTTGATTAAAACATTCTTCCAAATATCTTCCTTTGTGTACAGCAGGACAAATAAACACATAGAGGTTTGGAACAACATGAGGGTGAGTAAATACTGACAGAATTTTCATTTTTGGGTGAACTATCCCTTTAAAACACTTGGTTTTACTTTATTTTAAGTAATAAAAAAATACTTAAAATGTAACTACACCCTTGCCTCATTTAGTATATAAATTATATTACAATTATTAATTTAGTTATGTGAATATGCAAATTAGCCCCACCTCCACTCACACAGCTCAGGGATCCACTCAGTGACGATCGCCTGATTGGTTACAAGGTAGTTTGTGATGTCAGAAACACCAACATTTTTAAACCACATTTTTTAGACTGTCTTTGGTTCACTGCAGTTTTAAGGAGAAGTGTCTTAAAGTACTTTAAAGACACCACATAGACATATATAAACAACATTAAAAGCTTGATTTTCAGCACAGGGGGAATTTAACTATGTTGTGTTCTACGGAGAAAATAGATTTTTTCAAGAAAACAACATTTTCTTTCTCTTTTATTGTAGTGAAACAAGTCTTAAAGGGAAGAAGTGACATTACCACTATACAGTGCTGTGCCTGAACGCATTCAATGAACGATAGTTCATGAACGTGTTCATATTTTGGGCGAACGTGAACTGAACTACTGTATGAACGAATGCCTGATGAACGAACTGTGAACGCGTTCATCCTGGTGTCTGTGAACGCACGCTCTCTGTCAGTTTAACTTCGCACAATAGGGTGCCAGATTGCTATAGAGCCTTCCAGGCGAAACCCCGCCTAAAACACACGTAAACAGGCCTTAAAGGATTAGTTCACTTTTGAAAAAACTTTTGCTGATAATTTACTCACCCCCATGTCATCCAAGATGTCCATGTCTTTCTTTCCTCAGTCGAAAAGAAATTAAGGTTTTTGATGAAAACATTGCAGGATTTTTCTCCATATAATGGACTTACATGGGAACCAGACGGTTCAAGATCCAAACGACAGTTAATAACAGTTTCAGATGCAGCTTCAAATGTCTTTAAACGACACCAGACGATGAATAAGGGTCTTATCATGCGAAACGATCTGTTATTTCAAAACTTATTCCAAAAATGTAACTTTTCTAAGGACAAATGCTAGCCTTGCTCTATTCTGTGAGGCGCGTTTGTAACGTCACGTAATACGTAATTACGTTCAAAAGGTCACAGGCGACGTAGCCGGAAGTACAGAGTCAAAATCGTCCGACATCGTTGTTTTACCTTTTAATTCCTTTTTTGTAAACGGTGTTTGAGTTAGTTTGCACGTTCAACCTATGCGTTCAACTTGTAAACACTCTGACTCTGTACTTCTGGCTACGTCGCCCGTGACCTTTTGAACGTAATTACGTATTACGTGACCTTTTACGTATTACGTTACGTATTAAATTCCAAACATTTTTGGAATAAGCTTTGAAATAACCGATCATTTCGCATGATAAGACCCTTATTTATCGTCTGGTGTCGTTTAAAGACATTTGAAGCTGCATCTGAAACTGTTATTAACTGTCGTTTGGATCTTGAACCGTCCGGTTCCCATGTAAGTCCATTATATGGAGAAAAATCCTGCAATGTTTTCATCAAAAACCTTATTTTCTTTTCGACTGAGGAAAGAAAGACATGGACATCTTGGATGACATGGGGGTGAGTAAATTATCAGCAAAAGTTTTTTCAAAAGTGAACTACTCCTTTAATATGTAGCGGAAAAAAAACACCCAATCTGGCAACCCAAGACACCAGTGTCCGCGAGGAGGCGTCGTATGATCATTTAAACGGGTGTTATGGCGAGGTCGGTGAGGATGGGAAAAATCTTACATTTCTGTGCAAACTTTGCCTGTCGATAAAATAATTGTTGTCTGTGGTTGTATATGGGCTGTGGCAATTTAAAACACGCAACATATGGACTAGATGGAACTAGTTCAGCAATGTGATCACCAATAAACTGGATGTTTTTCTGTCTAGTATGTTTTCATAACACCATACCTCTATTGTTTTCATGATACGGGATATGGATATAGACACCGGTCTGCCACACACCCTTGCCTTGTGATCTCTGTAGAACTGCACCATTTCTTGGGCTATTTCACCTGATTCCAGTTCAATCATAGCCTACAAGAACACACACACACACATGACGTGTAAAGGAAAAACTTGAAAATTGCGTAATAACTGATTAGTAAAATGAAAATCACAGTAAACAGACGCAATAACTACACACACTAACCACAGCTGTTTAGCAAATCACAAGGTCTCTGGCTTTAATATTATTTCATGTTAGCTTTTTTCTAGCTCATTTCCTTGTAATACTAAAAAGCAATACTTTTTAAAAAGACAGTACATGTAGAAAGTAAAGATTTTAAAATAATTCATCATTAGAGCCAGACCGATATATCGGCCGATATTAGGCATTTTCCATAATATCGGTATTGGCAGTTATAAATGGCCGATAAATGAATATTTAAAAAATAAAATAAAAACGGACGAAACACGCTTTAATCATCTCTCCTTGGCCTGTTATATTGAAAAAGTATGTTTTACAATTTGCAGTATGATGTTATCTATTGCTAAATTATGGCTCATCATAGACTAGCTAACCACAAAGCTAGCTAATGCCACTATCATCAGTGGAAGACCGCTAACGTTAACATTAATGAGCTTGGAAACCACAATGAACTTTTCCTGCCTAAATAAAGTAATGATTACTGTATTTATAACTAGCATATCTCTAGTTACAGTCCCTGCATTGTAAAATGTAAGTTATACTTGCGAGGAGTGAACATTTAGACATAGAGAAAAAGTATCAAACGTATCTTCTGCAGAAAAGTTAGCTTTTCTTTTACACGTGTGTGAAATCCAACAATATTTAATAAAAAAAATATATCGGCCGATATATCGGAATATCGGATTTTAAAACCCAAAAATATTTGTATCGGTATCGGCCTTCAAAATCCTTTATCGGTCGGGCTCTATTCATCATGGTTAATAAACATAGAAAGGGTGAGTTCATGTAAACTAATGTTAACATTTTCAACCTAAAGTGTCACACACAAACTTTAGGTTTCGTTATGTTTTCACACACTAAGAATAGAGTCATGTGTACTACTGCCTCATAAAAAATAATGAAAAACAGTATAGTTTAACATATAATGGTTATTAAATATACTGTGATAATATTATACTTTACAGTAAATACAAAATGTTTAGTAAAACGTTTCAACCATCCACTGAAACCTTGTTTTTTACTTCTGTTCAAATAAAGATTGTATTTAAAAGGGAAAAATTAATATTTGTACCCAACCAAACGCAAACACAAAACACTGACCTGTTGTCTGGACACGGACAAAATATGTTTCACTATTCTGCCAAATGGTGCAGCCAGATAGCAAAGATCCTTCATCAAGTCAGGTGTCTTCTTTATGGGCCAAACCACCACTACTCTACCATCCTGTGAGCGCGTGCAAAAAAATACACTATTGCTACTGCTCAAACTGTTGAACTGGAAATATATACAGTATGTTTATGTTCAAAAACATCATAAAGTTAGTCAAATGAGAGATGTGACGCTTACCTTTGACACAGAGGGAGCTGGAATAAATGGTCAAAAGTGTTATATTAGTGTTACATATATTAAAAGCACATTGTAGGAGAACTCTACATATTACAGGATCATATCATGAATGAATTTTCCATGATCGTTTGAATATATTTAAAATGAAATGAAAAGTCACTATTTGCTAAAATGCACATTAGTGATCTTGTTGTGAACGATTCATCCATGCATACTTTTCATTTTTAAAAATGTAATAAACTTGATCTTCCAGTGAAATGACTTATTAAGACTAGATTTAGTCTGCATGCTGACTGCACACACGCAAGGTCTCTCGCTCGCTACCTCGCGCGTGTGCGGTTAGGAGCACAACGTCTGTCTCGAATGCACGCACGCTCGCTCGCTCCCTCTAGATTACGGGAAATTTTAACTAATTTGTGGTATAACTAGTCGATCACGAGTGGCTCAACAGGTAGAGCTATAGATAAACTCATCTTTCAGGCATTTGACCGACCGGGTTGACACTTCAGCGTGAGAAATCGGGGGTGTGGCGTGAGAGCGTGAGAATTGGCTCAAAGACCCCATTTACACCTGGTATTAAAATGCGATCCAGATAAGTTATCCGGATAATAAGTACCGATTCCATTTACACCTGGCCACATAAATGTGTTTTTGCAAAACGGATATAAATCCGATCTTCAACTCCCGCGTTATATGCAGATTTAATGGATTGCACGCCACCAAAAGCAACGAATATGAGCTGCATTTTGTTGATCATCAGCTAATTTCCAAATCAAAGACATCAATAAGAGAGAGTGGCAACAGGCCTGGTAAGATAATTTCGTTTCTTTACTTGAAGATGTGTTAACTGCGTCTGTGACTTACTTTCACTTTTATTTGCGATGTTTGCACGTTGAATAGACGCTCAGCTGCTCATCTGAGCTGATGCGTGTCGCATCTGACTAGGCTAGGCTATAACATGACATATAGCCTATATAACACGCTCTCACTCGTTTATTTTTTAGCATTTTTGGGAGGAGTAAAATATACATATGTGGTTTCAACAACCAGATTGCGTTTACACCTAGTAAAGATCCGGACACAATGCAAGCCAGACTACCTCCAGATGTGGTCAGGCAGATCCGATCACAACGCATTTACACCTTGCATTAACATGCGTTTTTTATTATCCGGATAACTTATCTGGATACAGATCGCATTTTAATACCAGGTGTAAATGGGGTCAAATTGAGTCTGACAGTTGGCAGCCCTGAATCAATATGTTAGTCCCCACACAACATTTTTTCTTTTTCAATAATACATTTTACTCAAAAGTTCATCACAATAGAGAAGAAAATATCCGTTGCTACTTTCATTTCTTTACGACTTTACTGTAAAAATTCTGAAAAGTAATTTATCGAAATTGAGCAGCAGAAAACTGTTGGATCTAAAATGTCTGTGTTTGTGATGTTGAATATCACATTTAATTCTAACTGTACGTTCACACCGCCGCCGACTTGAGTGTCAAAGAAGCTCTGGCCGCCCTGTCAAGAACGCTCGTCGCTTTGGACTCTTTGAACGCTCTGACGTTGCAGGGAGAATAGAAGCGTCACAACATGAAAAGTTATAAACAGGAAAAAAACAAGCAATATATTAAAGAAACCTTTTTTAATGACAGCATTTTTATAACCGTTCTGGTCACATTTGGTCGGGAAAAAAATTGTTAGCTATTATTAATATTATTATAATTGCGGTCAAATCGGCGTCACCGTGAGCAAATTAATTGCATTCCCGCTTTAAAACGAGCGTTCGTAAATATTTCAAATAAAAGTTGCGCTCATGCGGTCCCGATAAGCAAACAACGTCATGTCATAAATGATACGAAACCAGTAGAAAACACAACAACGGCGATTATAGACCATTTCACAAGATGTAAACAACACTGGTCCAGAAGCACTTCCTGTTTCAGTTTTTTAACACTACATAAAAGCTGGGATAAAATACAACCAACAGAACATTTAAAACTGAATCAAAAAGTTAAACAAACATCTTTAAGATGTTTTATTTACATGTGAAATAAAGAAAACAGTTACAAACTGAAACAGGAAGTGTTTCTGGACCAGTCTTGTTTACATCTTGTGAAATGGTCTATAGCTTCTCTTCCATTTACTCAGAACTAATGTTTTGGTAGGAACGAAAGTTTACATTCATGTTTCTCTGGAATCAGCCAGCGTGAAGGACGTCTATCTTCCGATTGGTTGCTGGTGTTTTCCCGCTGCTTGCCGCTGAACCGCGTCACAGCTCATTATTACCATAAAGTTGAGCTTCTTTCAACTTTCTGACTGACGCTCAAAATGCCCAAAACGGGATGCCGATGGATTTGACGCTCCTTGCAGCTGAGAAAAGCCAGCTTCCATTAAAAAATTAATGACTTCCGGACGCTTTTGATGCTCAAGTTGGCGGCGGTGTGAAAGTACAGTAAGGGCCCTATCTTGCACCCGGCGCAAATGACTTCATACACCGAAAAATTTATTATTCCTATTTTGCACCCGCGCAAAGTGGGCTTTTTCCCTCCACAGACGCGCGCCGGTAAACAAGGGAATGAACTCCCTGGGCGGATCGGCGCAAAAAGTGCTATTTTGCAGTTCCAGAAAACAATTGCGCCACTGACCAGAAAAAAATAGTCTAAAGTCAAAGGCGCGGTGGGCGTACATTCAGATGATATTTTAAGCGCACATGCTTGGCCATAATAGACCATTTTGAAAGATGTAAACTAGGGATGGGCAACGATTAATCGCGATTAATTGCATCCAAAATAAAAGTTTGTGTTTACATAATATATGTTTGTGTAGTGTGTATAATTAATTTGTACATATAAATACCCACACATGCATGTATATATTTAAGAAATATATGCATGTATATATTTTATATATATTTATTCACAATTAAGATTATATATAAATATTTGATATATTAATAACACATTTTTCTTAAATATATACATGCATGTGTAGGTATTTATATATACAAATTAATTATACACACTACACACACATTTATATTATGTAAACACAAACTTTTTTAACACAAACGCGATTAATCGGTGTCCATCCCTAATGTAAACAACACTAGTCCAGAAGCACTTCCTGTTTCAGTTTAACACAACATAAAAGCTGGGATAAAATACAACCAACAGAACATATAAAATTGAATCAAAAAGTTAAACTAACATCTTTAAGATGTTTTCTTTACATGTGAAATAAAGGCTACGTCCACATTAATCCGGATACATTTGAAAACGGGGTTTTCGTTTAAAAACGCTCTCCGTCCACACTAGCGTTTTCAGGCGTTTTCTGACGTTTCAGTGTGGATGAGAAACTTCTAAATTCACTTTACTGCGCATGCGTGAAACTTCACAAAAGCTCATTGAGATGATACAGATGGGAAAATAAATAATAATGTCATCGCACAATAACAGGATAATTTTATTTAGCAAAATATCTCACCATCACGGATGCGTCCAGGTCGCATTCAGTCACCATATGTTTGGTCTAAAACGCAACTGCTCTCCTGTTTTGCCGCAGGACAGCAAATGTGAGTAGACTACATTATCTGTCATCTTTGCAGTACTGTGCTATGAAGAATAGCACATATTAAGTAACATAGAAAGTAACATATTTTAGCAATAGTGTAAAAATGAATAACACATAACAGGCACAATACTGATAAACATGAATATCTATTGGTACTACATGGATCACATGACTAAACTTACGTCATCGTTTTGAAATACCTCCGGTTTCACTGTCCACACTACAACGCGAAAACGGCATTTTCAAATTTATCCACTTTGGAGAGCGTTTTCCAAACGATACGTTTTTGTTGACTTAAAACGGCGTCTCAGTGTGGACGGAAGGCCAAAACGGAGAGAAAAATATACGTTTTCAAACGAAAACGTATTAGTGTGGACATGGCCAAAGAAAAGTGTTTCTGGACCAGTGTTGTTTACATCATGCAAAATGGTCTATACAGAGTGTGAACAATGCACATACACTGTAGATGATTCATCTGCAAAGATGCATTTAACTTTTTGCAAATGATACAACATTATTATAAAGAAAATATTAAAACACGAGGGAAATCGTTGTTGTGTCAATGGCGATGGGAGAAATAGGCATAAAGCTTACACATTTACCCAAATTATCATACACATGTTTAACCAAAGCTTATTTGGGTGCGTTTGTCCCGTCCCCAATGTCCCTTCTCTTTCTTTTACGGCCCTGACGAGAGCATCGATCTCCTGAAGCGCGCCTGGTAAATGCGCCGTTATAATAGTATTGCCCCATGGAACAAGCGCACCTCGTTCATCATGCTCTTAAAGGGAATGTGATATGATGCTCTCATTGGTTTGTTTCCCGTTACGCCTAAACCACACCTATGAATAATGAAGCTACTTCAGACCAACCCCTTTTAGATTTGCGTCGGGCGCAAGAGTCATTTATCCCGCCGGTTAAATAGTAACAGCGGCCACAAAGTTACTTGATATTTGCGTTTCAGATCGTTAAAATAGGGCCCTAAGGGTCAAAGAGAGAGTCGAAAATGGCCTTGAAACAGATTAATTAATAAATGACTAAAATTATTATTTTTGGTGCAAGAACTTGCCTAAAGCTGAATCAGCCGCTGCAGTGTTGTCCAGCTCATCTAATGTAACAAAATCCTCGATGTTTTCTGGGAATTCTTCATCATCCTAGAAAAATAAGAAATATAAAAGCACACATAGAGGTTCTAGTCAAAATGAATGTTCACGTTGTTCCAGCACATTTTGTCTTTCACGTTCGCTAAAATCTTTTACACATCCAATCGGGTGCATTACTGAGATCATCATTGGGGAACAGTTGCTTTTAGCTGTTTGTGTATATTTGAACATGCAAATGTCATGTGGAACAGTGTTTATCTAACCAGTTCGTCTTGATTCTGCTGTGAATCTCTCTCTCTGTTCTCCTCGTCAGCATTAGTGGCCCTCTCCTCTTCCAACCTTTCCTCCTCTCCCTTTTTTTCTTCCTCCTCGGTATTAACCGCAGTGTCATCTGTCCCCTCATCAAGCAGCCCAGATTCATCCTCCAACTGAATACCCTCCTCATTATCGAGCACTTTGTCTTCACTTTCCATTAACTGGTTTTCTTTCTCTGTGGCTTCCTGGTTAGCGTTGTCGCCTTTGTCTTTGTTGCTAGACGTGGACTCGTCTCGTTGTCTGCCGTATTTGCTCGAGTCTGATTTTCTGGACGGAGGCTCGGTACTGTTCTCGCTGAAATAAATAAAAAAAGGTTTTCAATCAAGGACATCTTTAAAATAAGCTCTCCTGACAGCCTCTCTTCACTTATTTTCCTTAATTTACTAAAGCATACATTTTTGTTTCATGTGAAACTCATTTACAGGTTTAGGTATGAATATGAATCATGCATTAATAAAATATACATATTTTTAAATCTTTTTTTACAGTAAGGTACTTACAATTACAATGAGGCACTACAACATAATTAAATGGTAAAATATAGTTTTAAAAGAGTGCCCACGGGACCTAAACATTAAACTGAATGCATGTTTATGAATGCATATTCTTAAGAGCCTTTTGTTCTGAATGTTTATGCTTAGGTGCTTACATTATCTTTACAAAATATCTTTTTTTATTTTAAGATTTGGTGAGTGATAACTAGCATGCTATAAATAAAGATGTATAAAACAAACCTAAACATGAAAAACACCTAATGAAACACCTAAATGAATCTTTTTTTTATTACATTAAATTTTATTATTTAACTGAATGAGAATGTTTTATGACTTCTTTATTCAAAACACTGAATAAATGAATTGATTGAATAAATTTGAAATGATTTAGGACAGTATGTTATTTTTGAAATGTCATTTTGACATTTGATTTAAAGGAAAAGTTTGTAGTAATAAATGCATTATAGATTTAAAGTAATGCGTCTACTAAACTACTATGTTTCATGATTTTATTGTTGGTCAAAGCTCATTTTTATTTTAAATAAAATATGTGAAGAGTTGCATTGTAAAAAGTAATGGACTTTATTCCGAGTAAAAGCTATGTTTGTGTGTTTATTTATAGTTTAAAGGGTTAGTTCACCCAAAAATGAAAATTCTGTCAGTATTTTCTCACCCTCATGTTGTTCCAAAACTCTATGTGTTTATTTGTTCTGCTGAACACAAAGGAAGATATTTGGAAGAATTTTTTAATCAAACAGATCTCAATCACAATTGACTAGGAAAAAATACATACTATGGTAGTTAATGGGGAATGAGATCTGTTTGATTAAAACGTTCTTCCAAATATCTTCCTTTGTGTACAGCAGAACAAATAAACACATAGAGGTTTGGAACAACATGAGGTGAACAACCCTTTTTGGGTGAACTAACCCTTTAATGCCATGCCAGCTATCCTGTCTGTATTCATGACGAGAAAAAAAGCTATTTGCTATTTAATGTGGATAAAAATTAGGCTGTGAAGGACAGACAGAGGTGACGTTATGGGGGAGCAGAGTACGCATTAGGGCCCACCTAATGAGTTCACGACGAGTTTAAAATTATTTTTATTTATTTAATGTATCTTATATACACACACACATTTAACTAGAGTGTAGTAAAACAAAATCTGTAAATTATAGAAAGTGATGAATGAATGAACTCTCTCTCCTGTCATTTTAAAATACAGCACACTTGAAGTTAATGACGCAAATAAAAACATAAAAGATGGAGAGACACTTGTCAAAATTAAAAACACATAGCCAAAGGGTAGCAACAAGGCCATGTCCATGAGATACTGTCTAAATCACAGCTGTGCAGAGATAAGCCCACCCTTAAAAATATTCTTGTTTGCCGTAACCCAGGGCCGACCCAATTTTTAATTTTTTTTTTTCCTTTTAGTCCGACCGACTTGCCGGTTGTAACTTGCTTTCAGACCGACCGATTTTTTTGACTCATTCAATAAAATAATATTAATAATATTTTAGTTAGTATTGTGAAAGTTGCTTATGTCTACATACAAATGTAGGCTACGTTCTTTCTTAAATTCAGAATAAATTCAGTTCATACAACATTAGTTGTTTTCATGTCTTTTGCATAACATTGCACCATTTCATGCTTTTCATCTTCAGAAAGATCTTTCTTCCTTCACATACACGTCAACTATTTAACAAACGTGTCTGAGATTGATACTAGTTTTCTAAAATATGGAGAAATAAAACAAAAACACTTTCTTTGAAAAACTAAAATCTCAATGTTTATTGTACTGAAATCCTACTGATAAGTCACTTGCATAATAATTTGGAATATAGTGTATAGTAAAAGATATGGGAAGCCAATTTCTGCACTCAAAAAAACACATCTTAGGGCTCGGAATATCAGAAGTCTCTTACCGCAGGCTGGTGATGTGGGACATGGCTACTTTGACACTTTTGCCTTGAATCCTCAGTGGGTTACTGTAGTAATACTTCACCATGATGTCAGCATCACGCCAGTCAACCATCTCTATCAAAGCCTGAACACACACACATCAAAAAAAGAACAAGTGTGATAAGTTTGTATAAGGGCTGACAAAATGAGCACATGCAATCAATTAAACATTTGGGAGTTTAATATATCTGTGAAGGGTCAATATATAGGCAAATATTTATCTCACAGCTCTAGTTTGTACTTGGATGGTAACCTTACCTTACAGTCTGTGAACTTTGACTGCCACACCTCACCAAACATGCCTGCAAGCTCTAGTACTTCATCCTCAACGCCCTCGCCAGGAGGCAAACGTGAAAAACAAACCACAGAAGGTGGATTCGAACGCTTGGTTCGTTTTTGCGAAGGCTCATCAAACTTGGGTGGTGACTGCAAATCAGAAATACCCAAGAAATATGTATGATAAATGATCAGACTTTTAAAGATATAGGATGTTATTTGTGGGCTTCCTACTTACATGAATGCCTTCCACTGTCGGTGATAAGTAGAGGATGACTCGGTTCTCCTTGATGAAGGCTGGTTTCAACTTGAAGTGACTGACCATATTCTGAGCTTCCTTGTGAGAACTAAACTCCAAAAAACCCTGTTAACCAGCAAAACAATATTATTGCAGGGTTTATAAAACCTGTATTCGCATGTGCATTTGAGTGTGACTGATTTCTGGAGATGTGAATACAGGTTTTATAAACCTGTATAAAACCTTAATTCACATACAGGTAGGGATGCACCGATATGAACATTTTGGCCGATACCGATAACCGATAATTCTTTATATTTGAAAGCCGATAACCGATATATCGGCCGATAAACTTAAATCCAAATTTTTATCTAATTTTGAGAGCCTGATTACAAAAACAAAAGTCTCACAATTAAATCCATGTCTCAAGCGCACAATTATAATGATGTTCTCATTATAGTGTTGTATAGCCAATATGACAGATTTGCGTTGCACATGTTGTCCCGAACCAGATTTAGATTTTTTGAAGAGATTTCAATCACATTTCAAGAAATTCAAAAACATAAACAGTGCTCAATGAGCGTCTCAGCTGAAGGGAATAATACATTATTTATCGGCTTTAATATATCGGCCAAATTTTCTTACCAGGCCGATAACAATAGCATTAAAAATGAACATATATCGGCCGATACCGATATGCTGGCCGATATATCGTGCATCCCTACATACAGGTGAAATCTGTATTCACATTCAGACCTTTAAAAGGTTAGTTTATCAAACTGTCATCTTGTCGGGTTTGCTCACTTTCGGGTTGACTGCGCAACTGGGGTTGCCAGGTTGAGATGACAAATGGGTTGAAATTGTATATGGTGTGTGGATTGTTTATGTGAATATATATAATGCATTTAATACAAGATCTGGCAACTGGTCAACACAAACATATTGGTCCGATTATTCATAAAGGAGTTTGAGCCATTCAAATTACGGGAGTTTCCCGGGAGAAATAACCAACCGGATATAGAACTATAAAACGCGGGAAACCCGGGAAAAACGGGAGTGTTGACAGGTATGCAATAACTCCACCTGTATTCAAATGTGCATATTGGGCCAGTTGTTCAAAACATTTAATCTGGATCAAAATGATCTGGATTTGGAAATCCCATTTTTTCCTATCCAGGATCAGGTAATCTGTCTTACTTTTATGCCAGTTTTTCAAAGCAACATTGGACTGGATCACCCTGATCCAGATACACAGTTTTCAAGATTACCAGTGCTCTAAATGGGACAACATATCACAATGTGGGCTACCAGCTATGTAAAGAACAGGTAGAAGAGCCAACATGGGGTCACTGTAAGTGATTCATCAACACAGAGAGTTACCGGTCTTTATGGCCCTATAACTGATGAAACGGCTTATAAAAATTAGGCAAAATATGCCTCAAAAGTTATAAAGATGCAACAGCGTGTTCATATATATCCTGATCCTGTGCATTTATTTGTGCATTATCATATAGCATTCACAGGATAGCTACATATGCATTTCTGTAATTTACAGTAAACTTACAAAATCATGTATAATGCTGTATATGTATATTGTGTTGCATGTAATGGTACATTGCAAAATTACCACTAAAATTACGCCCACAATTGTAGGATTTCTCAAAACTGTGGTAAGAACTGACTAGTGCTAAAAAAATGTCCTATGTGTTGAAAAAATAAAGGTTATAGAAAGAGTTAAGACCCGTTCACACAAAGAACAATAATATATAAAGAAGACTGATTAGAGTCCACACCAAAATAATGTTTTTTACTCGAAACGCATGCTGCAGTTTTGTCGTCTGTCGCTTTAAATGCTCGAGACCTTCGTCCTGAAAGTGATTCCAACGAAATTGTTTCTCTGTGCTGTTATCATTATAGTTGTGTTGTGGATGATTTCAAGAACTTTATCGTTATGGAGTGAACAGGTCTTCATAATCTTACAGGACACAGTAAACATGTCTACTTCTTAATCACATAAAGCAATAGTGAGGCAAACAATGTTGCTTGGAGTCTTCGACACCAATTTATTAAGTTCGACACCAAGTTATGGTAAATGACTAAATGGTTAATCATTGTGCATGAACCTAAATGTGTGATTACCTTTGCAGGGAACACTAGGTGCTTCACAATTGTGCCGAATGGTTTGCCAAGCACTAAAAGCTCCTCCACTGTCACAGCGCCCATGGAAAACTTGGCAACGACCACTTTTGTATTGGCCTGAGGATAATAATATAGCCACAAGATAAGTATTGATTTGACAGCACAAATAATGGAAATGAACATAAAACAGTAGCACATCCAAAAATTTACCTTAGGGGGGTATAGACGGTCTGATGAGCTGGACATGAACGGATCCCCTTAAAGAGAAAAATCAATTTATTAACACTAATTTGCTATTAAATATCGTACACTAGCCTGGCTAACGTCAGACCACGTCTCATTGACATTGAGATGTGGTCGGGAACCATATGTTCATTTTCTCGTATTTGAGGCGTGGTTTACGAATGCCAAGAGCCGTATTATTGGGTGCTACGAATGTAAATCAAATGCACCTGTACGTAGATCATGGTCAATTGTTTCAATTATACCAGATGACGTATGTAGAGCGAAAGAAATTAGACGAGGAAGAAGACGATGTGTCAAAGATTTATTTGTGTTCTAAACTACTTAGAACAATATCTAAGGCTGCATCGAAAGGTAACTTCACGTCTGCCGCCATGTTTGATCCATAAACAAACTGCTTCGGTTTCGCATAGACGTCGTCATCGTCTTGCTGCTCCCTCCCCGTTCTGTGATTGGTTCCCTAGATGAGACGAAAATTTGCTCCATGGTATCCAGACTGCCTTTGTAAGAGAATAACATGTCTTTCATTAAAATTTAAAGACCCCATGAAATGGCTTGTTGATCCGGTTTTCTTTTATGTGATGATGTATTTCCTATTGAAACAGGAAGTTGGGGAGGCATGACTTTTTTAAATAAGCCAATAGGTTTTAGCTTATGTCACAATCATGAGAGCATTTTTTAACAGATGTGAAGTACAATCCACCAAACCCTTTTCTGGGGTCTTTAATATTTTCCCCTCAAAGTGATGCAACTAGTGCTGTCACTTTCTGTGATTAATCGCGCTTAAAAACACTAATGTTTTGATTTATTTTTTAATATATTTTATAATGTAATAATTTCACAGTTAATCTCCAAATTAATGTAGAAACAACATTAAGACGGTATATATTAAATACTTGTTTAATGTCATCTTTTTATGAATGAAGGCCAGTTTCACTGATACTAATACAAATACTGAAGTCTTGATGAAAACGACCCCCCCCCCCCTAATTAATTATAGTCATTCAACATTACAGAGTAATTGAAAGCTATACTTTTTTAAGCTTCAAAAATAACTTTTAATTTAAAGCAGCATTCTGTTACTTAAGAAATTTTGCTCTCGGGGTTCCCCATGTACTTATTTTTCTGGTGAAAGTGTCTTGCCTCAGGCTATAATGCAAATCATGTTTTCAAATTTGCAGATTCATCTATGGTAGCTTGATATTATAATATTGACGACTGATGGCTATTATCTACCACACAAACATTGAATTAGGATATCCATTATATCCATTATAGTATATATTATATCATTACATCCATTGGGACGCCCATCATTCAACCCGAAAATAGTCATAAAACTATTGCAATAACTCAGAAGCTATTCAGTTAAGCTAAAAAAACTGCAATGAAAAAAGGCGTGATCATAATATGTAACGCTATCCAAAGGATGACAAAAAAAACGGATGTGTTTAATATTTTTTATGCGTTTAACTGGAAAACGTTAATCGACAGCTCTAGATGTAACAATTATTAATTCACTTATTAATTATTTTAAACATGACAATGATTTACACAAAAAACATTATTTTTCTTTGTGGAAGCAACATTATCAAATATAGATCCACCATTCCTTACACATGGCAGAATGATCACTGCTGTGGGGTCTTTTAGAGGGATATGAGCGGGAACTTCGCGGAGAGGACTGCGCTTCATGTGATTTGTGGCGGAATCCTGATAGATGTTCATTCCATGTCTGAAAGTTAAAAAAAGAGCACTTGAAATTATTATATGACGGATTATGATCATTTCAAATCAGTTGTAAAACACATTGTTGTCAAAAATATATTCAAATATCAAATCAAATCAATGGTTGACTTTACAAGAGGTGAATGACCAAAGTATATTGAGTATACATCTGGTAATGCTGTCCATTTTGCATATTTCAGTTACAGTGAACCAATTACTTCAGTTTAATAAGATTGATCTCATTTCATTGTTTTCTCTTGAACCTCAAAGCTGGAGCTAAAAAATAAAACTTTCTTGAAATTCTGAATTGACAAGTCACATCTGAAGCCTTAAAATAGCCATAAACAATAAATCTTAGGGGTGTGAATCGGCCCCAATACAATATTATTGCGATTTTAAACATTTTGCAATATGTAGTATTGTGATAACATATTATGATATATCGAAATGTATAACTTTTCAACTGCAATGTCTGCAAAAATCTTGATTCAATTAATTATTTTTACAATAAATATTGTTTTAAGCAGTTTTTCTTACAAAAACCTTAATGAACAAGTTGAAGGTGAAAGTATTCAGTTATGAAATGCAATTATGTGCTGAATCATATTAATATTGTTGCTTTAATTGAAAATAAATAAATTTGCCATTAGCATCATATAACTTCTTGGTCACTAGATGGCGTTATAGAGTTCTTCATACTTGCAGTCACAAGCAGAAATTCACTCCCTGAAAATAAGGGAAGGGAAGTTTAAAATAAGTTTAAGGGAAGGGTACGGCTGTCAAACGATTAATCGCATCAAAATAAAAGTTTGTGTTTACATAAAATGTGTGGGTGCACTGTGTATAATTATTTTGTATGTATATAAATACACAAACATGCATGTATATTTAAGAAAAAAATATTATTTATATTTAAAATATTTATATATATATATATATAATAAACATTATATATAAATCTACATACATGAAAATATTTCTTAAATATATACAAGCATGTGTGTGTATTTATATATATATATAAAATAATTATACACAGTGCACCAACATATATTATGTAAACGCAAACTTTTAATTTTGAATGCGATTAATCGCGATTAATCGTTTGACAGCCCTACGGAAGGGTCAACAGTGTAATTACAAATGTAATTGCATGCATTAATTACAGCTGTAATTACATGCAGGTATTATTTAAATATAAGTACAGTGTAAAAGCATGCGTGTACAAAATTGTGTCAAATTATTACTTTCAATGTAAGCCACTTAATACTAGGGCTGGGCAAAAAAATCGATTTTTCGATTAATCGTTTTTTAAAATGTGGTCGATTCAAAATCGATTCTCAACGGCCACGAATCGATTTTTTTCCATATAAAGGGCTCGCGGACGCGGTGCTGCATCTTCTTGTCTTTCTGCACTAGGCAAGCGCTAAGCGCTGCAGCTGTCGATACACACACACGTTAAGGAGTCGGGACACGACGGAATATTCACTTGCACAATCGGGCCAGCATTGCATCGTGACCTATGATCGTAACTAACGTTAATCATTTATTTGCTCAAGCAATGTTAAACCATCCCGTGCTCGCGCACTCTCAGAGATTTCTTTCACTGCGTGCACAGCCTAAATCCGCCTCACAAACAGCTCGCCAGAAACAAAAGTTTTATCCCTGGATTATATCACTTTAACAGTTAAAACACGCGACATTATGTCAAAACTCTGGTCTTGGTGAGTAACCTCGTAAAGACAGTCGGTAATGTCTTAAATTAGCATTAAACGCGTGTGACAGAAAGTTAATGAAACAGTAATGGATTCGCACACTAGTTCTTAAAGTAAACGCAGCCATTTGTGTCAGTCATTAATTCTGTTGTCATAACAACAGAATATAGTATTAATTGTAAGCAATCAGAATTAATAGCCTTTGTATTTAATTCAGTCTGGACTAAAAAGACTATCCAGTGTTATTTTACATTGGATTACTTTATTCAGTTTCTGTTGACATACCCAAAAAACTACCCCAAAATGTCTCTTAATTTTTGTCTTTATTCTATAGGTGGTTTGCAGTCACGTAATTGTGTTGACGCGCGGAACGCAGATGGAGGGCAAGGAGTGAAGAGCGCAATGGACGAGATGGAGGGAAATCCGTACTGTACTACTTTAGACGCTGTTACAAGAGAAATATATAAACAGAAAATCGAAACATATGTTGGACGTGATCCTTACGTTATGAAGAGGACCGATTTTCAACTGAATTGAGAGATTTGCCTGCCATCGAGCAACTAACTCGTCTTACAGACATACTTTGACTTTACAAAGTTTGGAAACTGGTACGTGACACAAACAGCCACATAAGTGTATTTAAACACCTGAATAATGTAATTATAAGCCACATAAATAATGTATTAACTCACATTTGACGAAGTGATCACTGCGCACACACACACAGGCATTTTCCCATTCGGCTCCTCCCGACCGCAGACGTAGGTTTATAAGGCATTTTTCCCGGTGTTTTTCTGTCAATTTCTTGTATTTTCCCCCCTATGAACAACAACTTTTGTCACACGATAAAAACTCCTCGTGGTTTGATCGATTTGAGCAACCGTAAACGACGCAAAACACAGGCATTTTGAGTGTGTTAAAGTGCTTCCTAAATATAGAAATCACTTCCTGCCCTCCATTTGCGTTTCGCGCCATGGCAACGCAGTTTCGTGACGTCACGTGAAAACAAGCTATTGTATTTATTTGTGCTACTTTTTTCAATTTAATTCAAAGATTGAAATCAAGCATCCATACATAAAATCTTAACAAAAAAATACATTAACATTTAGGTAAGATCAATGTAAAAAATGTCGAAATATTTATATATTTATCTATCTTAAACATAAAATAACATGATACTGTTTGATCAAGCTGTGCGACTGTTCTGTGCGACTCTTTTTTGCATATTGCATCAAAATCTTTGTATGCATTTAGTGTACCTAAAATAATAAGTGTTTTATATACAGGTTTATGGCTCTTAATTTTCTTGTATTGATTAACCACTAGTAAACTTATGTCCACTGTTCTTTTTTATAAATTATAAATATAGGATTTTTATTACATCTTCATTATAGTTGAATCGAGAATCAAATCAGGAATCGAGAATCGAAAATCGAATTCGAATCGAACTGAGAGCTTGCGAATCGAAATTGAAATGTAAATCGATACCCAGCCCTACTTAATACTGATTTTTTATTTAATTTGCTTCATCGTGGCACTCAAGTTAATGAGGACTACAATCACTTCTTTTTTTGCTACTTACCTTTTTCGAATTCATCCTACAATTGCAAAGAGAGCAGTTGTATGGGAAAACCGTTGGGGTGTCGCCTAACTCGGTCTCGGCAGGCACGTGATCCCCACTTTGACTTTCTCGGGATGACTTCCTGCATCTTCCTGTATCGTCCTTTCTTCCTCCTGTTTGCTTCTCGCCCTTCCTATGACCCTCCCCTTTGCCGTGATGCTCATGCTCATGGCTCCCGTGGCTCCTCGCTGAGCCGGAAGACAGGGGGGGGCTTTTGCGCCGCTCAGGTGTGTTCAGCTTTTCCTGAGACTTGTCTCTGTGGTCAGTGTCTGTTGTAGATGATGTTTGTTGGGCTCTTTTCGCTTTGAGCTGCATGATCAGATAAGGGAGGGTCTCAACGCTGATTTCACTCTCTGGAATCTGAGCGAGCGCATCCACATCTTCTGACGACAGGCCGAGTGCCGCGTACAGGCTCGACGACACGCCTACAGCCTCGGCTCCGCTCGGTTTTTCACTGGCACCACCATCTAACAAATCCATCGTCAAGCCTTTACGGACACCAGAGGGAGTCAAGCAGTCATCTGAGATTTCACAGAAAGAAATAAAAAGGGAAATTAATGAAGTTAGATTAAGGATCTAGTCATAAACAACGGTTTTTAAGAACTGAGCAGATGAAATGACTGAAATGGAACCAGAGTTTTTTTTTTTATCTGCATTTTTTTTTGACACAATAATACAAAAAATCATTACACTTCAAGAATACATGACATGGCATGGGTGATATTATTATTATATAACATGGAGTTTATTAACATGGCGAAAATAAATTGCAGTTTTTAAACCAATAATGGACGATTAAAAACCTTGAAGGCAAGTGTTGGTGATCAACTCAGTATTGGACATTATTTTTCTATTGGTACAATTACGCTGAATCGTTTTACAGCCTAAACTTGCTATTATAGCCATACTGACCTTGACATGCTATCAAGAGGGTCCCCATGTGAAAAAGAAGTGCACATAATTTTATTCAATCTGCATTTGAAGTGTATTTTAAAAAATACACTTTTTATTTTAAAGCACATTTAAAGTCATTGTTTTAATAATCTGTTGTTGTGCTTTAAAGTAGTAATTTTGGTCTGTTGACTAAAGCACTTTTTTTAATGTACTAAACCGCAGCTTAATCATTATACATGTGTAATTACAAATATATTTAAATAAATGGCATTCAAGTTTAAATAAAAATAACTTTAAAGTATACTTCAATTTACATAAATACTTGTCAGCACACTTATTGTAACCATATTGCAAAGACTTATAGAATTATGAATGATGATTACATATAAAGATGTACTTGAGTGGGTAAATGCATTTAATATCAATTTAAACTATAATACGTTTACTTTAATTGCAATTAACATACAGTTAAATGTCTGAAAATGTGAATCAATTGTGACAATAAATATGTCTAAATGTACAAGGTCACTCTTCCGCCAAAACTCGACTCGTGCCATTTCAGGAAGCCAGTGATTATAGTTTAACTAGTTATAACTATACATTTTATTTATGTTTTTTTTTTTTTTTTTTACAAAATCACACCGCTTTGCTTCAACAGATCTTTGTTAACCCACTGGAGTCGTGTGGATTACTTTTATGATGAATAGATGTGCTTTTTGGGGGCTCAAAAAAAAAATTCCACTGACTCCCATTATAAAGACTAGAAGAGCCATAATATATATATATATATATATATATATATATATATATATAAATCCGATTGTGTTTGGCTGAAAGAAGAATGAGATCATTTGCATATATTTTAGTAAACGAACCCTTTAATTATAGTACTGTGCACATATGCTAACATACAATATATAATACAATATTTACACATTGACAAAAATATTTGAAACCAAATTAGCTTCTATTATAAACGATTCACATGGCTGATGTTGGTTAAGAAACTGACACAATATCGAGGCAATGCTTGTGATAACTAACTTAGCCTACTAGACATTAGACAACGGTTATTAGTCAATTTAGATAGTATCGCTGTTTAATTAACAGTTTTAGCTGACTCGACATTGTGTTTCAATGGTTTCAAATGACTAAGTTAAACAATCAAAACATGACCGTACCCACCCTCCTTCTGACAACAGTTAGCCCCATAGCTAACCCATAGCTAAACATGAAGTTTCCCAAAAGCTTCTTCACAAAAACTGAAAGAGCATCTTCACAATATAATAACATTTCTGAGGTATTTTCTTTAAGATTTAAACCGGAGCATTAAAGGTGTCGCGCGCGGATAAATAACTAAGTTACCGGTGGTAACTTCGCGAAAAGGCTTGGTTAACTTTGGCACTGTTGTTTTTTTCAACAACTAACTAATAAACCGACCATAACAGGACATTCTGGAATTGCTTTTACACGAGAAAACACAACAAATAGTTTTCATAATTACCAAAATGTCCGTCAAAGAATGCTCCTTGTTCAATGTGTAAATACTGAAAGGATCCCTGGATTTCTTCTTCTGAAATCTGCTGGTCGCTGTTGTTCACGCGAATGGTGCAAATAGCGCCACCTGTCGGGCTGAAGCAATAAGCGCGAGGGCAGTTTTACGTTTTACGCCCCTGATGCGTCCAATAATCTGCTAAAGTTATTGTTGTTTTGCAATGATGCAACATTTATTATTTATAAACGATTTGCTAGATAAAGCTAGGGTAGGTAGATATCAAAAGTGATAGCCAAAATAAGCGTTTTGAAGCATTGTGTCGAAAATGGTTCATTACTCGAAGCTTCATTCAGATAAATGCTTCAGACTTCATTTTCACATGACTAGAGACGTAATGATTGAAACGAAATGAACGACATACTATTAATATATAAAATATTTATATTTATATATAATATAAATTATATAAATCTATATACAGTATATACATGAAAATATTTCTTAAATATATAAAAGCATGTGTGTGTATTTATATATATAAAATAATTATACACAGTGCCCCAAATATATTATGTAAACACAAACTTTTATTTTGGATTAATCGTTTGACAGACCTAATACTTATTATTATAATGATTTGTGTAAGGAAAGTTAACTTTGTTTGATTGTAGACACTAGCAATATGCAGCAATTGTAAAGGCATGTTAAGGAACTGGGATAATGAAGAAAGCAAGCAAATGGCAATAAATCAATTGAGAAGTAACTTCTGGACTCATTCCTGTGTTAAAATCGACACACCATTCTGGTAGCACTCGTCCTTAACCAGCCAAACACCAAATATTTTACAGGTAAAATAGTGCTTTTACTGTCCGTTCATTGCAGAAGATAAGCGAAAAAAAACCTATGTATAGGTTTTTTTTAACTTGTCTTCTGCAATGAACTGACAGCAATATGTTGTGCATGCGCACTTCGATCCTGTACTCTTTAACATGTACCACAAAAAGCAAAAATCTGATGTGTCTTTATAACAGGACAAATCATCTCCGCTACATATCAGACCGATTAAAATCGAGATATTACTGGACATCTGGCAGGTAATGTCAACACCAGCACCGGTCGTGATCACAGAGTTAAAGGCACACTATGCAGGAATTCCGTTTTAGTCAAACAGCGACCCCTATAGTCGCTCTGGAGTACTTGTATTTAATGTTACTGTCGCAAATACCACTCACGCAGAGCGTCTCTGCCATATGTTAAGGTACAAATCTTGCATAGTGTGCATATTTTTGCATTAAAGGGGGGGTTGACTGCTTTTTTTTCTTTGCATGATTGTGTTTATGGGGTGCAATATAACATGTATTCATGGTTTTTCTTTTTTAAAAAGTCTTATTTTTAAGCTTCACCTTTATTGTAAGCCGTGTTCTCCTCTGACCTCTGAACTACTAGTTGACTTCCTGATTCTATGAAACACCTCCCTCAGAAACAGGCAGTGGGCTCAGATTGGTTAGTTTGGGCCGGTGTGTTGTGATTGGCTAAAGTGTCGCTCACGTTGTCCAGAAGGTTTGTGGGGACATAAATAAGAAAAATTTTGTTGGGTTTACTGACACACATGCTAATAATATTTGCTAGAGCCCATTTAACCCTCCCCTTAAACATAAGCCTGACAAAAAACTCAACGATAAACATAATTTGATCAAGTCTCTGAAATAGTGCCTACAGCTCGCAATTAAAATAGAGTAAAACTTTTTGACTAGGACATATCACAAGTTTACATCAAAACATGCACACACACAAGAAACAAAAATGACAGTGAGAAACTACAGGTTTTCAGTCCAGTTTAATAATGAAAACACCTATTTTTATACATGGCATAGATTTATACATAAGTGAAAACATGACATACATGTTGCATTTTAAACTTTATAACATTTTTAAATGTTTAATATGAGCTAACAGAAATTTGGCTTGTTGGAATGTCTACATATATATAATAAATGAGATAAATAATAAAACAAGGCATAAAGAGAAGGGTGACAATACTTGTGGTAATCAACATGTGGCGATATTAGTGCACCAAAAAATGAATAGGAAGACAACAAAACTTTTGTCACTAGAAGATTCACCATCACACTAACAAAGAATACACTAACAAACACATAATACCACAGTTGGCGGTAATAACAAAAAAAAAATAGATACAAAATATATAGTATTTTTTTTAAACGAGAAAAATTTGAAGAGAAACAAGGCTCTTGAATTGATGAAGATGAAATTGTGTCTGCATCACTGCACTAATGCATGAAGAAAAACTGACAAAGAGAAAAAAAAACCCAGCAAAACCACTCATATACTAAATAAACGGCTTTATACGGTGTTATTCAAAAAACAAAAAATTGTTCTCCTGTATTTTTCATTGTCTGTGAACAAAATACAGAACAAAAGTGATTCAAACTGCATAAATATTCTGTCACATTACCTGAATACCTTGTTATATTAAAAGCAAGTACTAGTAAAGGAATAATACTAGTACTATTCCTTTCCGTTTTGCTTTTACATATTACAATGTTCTTCAGAAGTGATAAAAAAAAGACATGCACTCTTAATATGCAAGGCACAGACACTGTGAGCTACTGTCCAACTGAACCCTCACCAAATGAAGTGAAAGACCATGTTATGCTACTTGCAATACTTCGAAAACAACATAACAGTTGAAAAATAGGCCCAACAGTTTATACCATTACAAAAATGATCACATTAAAATGGGAAACAATACTAAAAATGAAGGCAAGACAAATGTGGAGTTCTTTTAACTTTTTACTGTGTTGTGATGAAACTGAAGTAATGGTAACACTTTACAATAAGGTTTCATTATGACAAACATGAACTAAAAATGAACAATGCTTCACTTGAAAAAAACTTTTGCTGATAATTTACTCACCCCCATGTCATCCAAGATGTCCATGTGTTTCTTTCTTCAGTCGAAAAGAAATTAAGGTTTTTGATAAAAACATTCCAGGATTTTCTCCATATAATGGACTTCAATGGGAACCAAACGGTTCAAGATCCAAACGACAGTTTCAGTGCAGCTTCAAAGGGCTTTAAACGATTCCAGACGATGAATAAGGGTCTTATCAAGCGAAACGATCGCTCATTTAATAAATAAATAACAAAGTTTAAGTTTTAAAAGCTCAAATGCTCGCCTTGCTCTGTTCTGTGATGCACGTTCGTGACTCTCCTGTGCATCAAAATGAACAGATCTTTGCCCGAGTCATTTGGTTCATTCAACGAACGAAATGAATGAATTGACTCAGGAAAAGATTTGTTCATTTTGATGAAAGAGTTCGAACAGGAGAGTCACGAACGTGCATCGCAGTAGGCGAGCATTTGAGTTTATAAAACTTTTTTTTTTTCTTACATAATTTTTTTTAATGGGCGATCGTTTCGCTTGATAAGACCCTTATTCATCGTCTGGAATAGTTTAAAGCCCAGTTTGCAGTTTGTACTGAAAGTGTCTTGAACCTTGAACCATCTGGTTCCCATTGAAGTCCATTGTATGCAGAAAATCCTGAAATGTTTTCATCAAAAACCTTAATTTCTTTTCGCTTGAAGAAAGAAAGACGTGGACATCTTGGATGACATGGGGGTGAGTAAATTATCAGCATAAGTTTTTCAAAAGTGAACTACTCTTACTTAATATACTTTAATAGGAAAAGTGCATTTACTAATGTAATAGATCAAAAGTTGTATATGATGTTTATAAATGCTGTAAAAAATATATATTGCTCCTTGTTAGCTTAATGCTAGTTAATGCATTAACTAATGTTAACAAAGAGACCCTATTGTAAAGTGTTACAGAAGTGATTACTCACTGAAATTCTTGACCCTCAAATCTCATTAGTGCGTGTGCATTTTCAAACTTTGAACGTTGCATTTGTTTATAAGCTATAGCTTGTGAGCTATAGAAACAGGCAAGATTTTCAGTGAATAACGGTTTAAATGTTGGCCGTTACCTTACACAAAGCTATTGTATGGCTTCAGGAGACTGTTGAAGGAATAGGGCGCACGGGTCAAATAGACTATTCAGAGTATGGCAGCACCTGGTCGCTGTATGCCGTTCCATGCTGGAACAAATAAAGTCCTATTGCTCTGAAAAGAAATGACAATTTTCACTTTTGGTTGACATCCCTTTCAATTACTTAGTTTTCCGTCACTACCTCGATTTTCCTGTGTACACGGCTTTTCCCATCGCAACCGGTCCATCCTTCACCCTAATGTGGTTAATTTGTCGATGAGGTCATCAACAGTGTACACCATGAGCTTAATGTCATCTTTCTCTGACATGCGATGAAGCCCATGCTTGCGAAAAATGACATCCACGTCATTGCTGAGTACCCGCTCCGCGACCTGCATGGAGACGTGCCAGGGTACGTCAGTGTCCTTGAGGCCGTGGATCAGTCGGACGGGGCAGGACACGGGGATGGGGCTCTGGAGTATGCAGTGGTTCTCGGCCTCCTTCAGGAAGTCCATGCTCAGAGTGTAGAAACCCTCTTCATTGTGCTTGGTGGGAATTTCCAAAAGCCCTGTTCCTCTATCTCCTTCTTTGTCTATTGAAAAAGGGGAAGATATGAATCAGGAGACATATTTTCAGAATCTAATTTTTAAATTGGTCATTTTCTAGTTTCTTATTTCATTTAAAATTGAAAAACAAACCAAGTATAAAGATGAAAATAAACAATATTTACAAGAAAAAAAAATACGATGAATATTTAAACCTTTGATACAAATGATTTTTGTTGTGTTACATCCTTAAAGGAGTAGTTCTCTTTTAAAAATCTTTTGCTGATAACTTACTCACCCCCATGTCATCCATGATGTCCATGTCTTTCTTTCTTCAGTCGAAAAGAAATTAAGGTTTTTGATGTAAACATTCCAGGATTTTCTCCATATAATGGACTTCAATGGGAACCAAACGGTTCAAGGTCCAAATGACAGTTTAAGTGCAAACTGCAAACTGTTCAAAGGGCTTTAAACGATTCCAGATGATGAATAAGGGTCTTATATAAAGCGAAACGATCGCTCATTTATTAAATAAATAATAACAAAGTTTAAGTTTTATAAGCTCAAATGCTCGCCTTGCTCTGTTCTGTGATGCCCGTTCGTGACTCTCCTGTTTGAACTCGTTTATCAAAATAAACAAATCTTTTTCCAAGTCAACTCGTTCATTTCGTTCGTTGAATGAATCAAATGACACGAAAAAAGATTTGTTCATTTTGATGAACGAGTTTGAACAGGAGAGTCATGAACGCGCATCACAGAACAGAACAAAGCGAGCATTTGAGTTTATAAAACTTAAACATTGTTATTAGGATATTTATTTAATAAATAAGCGATCGTTTTGCTTGATAAGACCCTTATTCATCGTCTGGAATCGTTTAAAGCCCTTTGAACAGTTTGCAGTTTGCACTGAAACTGTCTTTTGGACCTTGAACCGTTTGGTTCCCATTGAAGTCCATTATATGGAGAAAATCCTGGAACGTTTTCATCAAAAACCTTAATTTCTTTTCAACCGAAGAAAGAATGACATGGATAACAAGTAGTCAGTTACTATATCATACAACTTTATTGGACATCTGGCTATACGTTACATTAAAATACAGTATGAGAGCACAGATTACGAGAAAAAAAAAGATGTAAAGTGTAAAGTAATGGAAAATGTGTTTTTAAAAAAAGACCGAAAGCTTAATGGTGATGGTTAATTAAAGTCAAGTGATCAATGTATAATTTGTTTATAGCCTATGTTTATCTTTTTACTTCAAACAATTTAGGCTTCAAAATTCATAAAAGTTTTTAATGTGTCAAAATGATCATGGTGAACGAATAATATGTGTAAGAAGCATATACTTTTCTATGTCTAACAGCTTATTTTCAGCAATAATCCAAAAGCCAATGAAAAAACTTTTTTTTGTCAAGGGCACCAAGGCTAACGTCACTAACTTCATCACTGCAGCGCTGTATAGTAATAGTGATGCTATTACATCATTAGTGAAACTTGTAACAAATTACTTGTATTATTATCACTTATGAATATGTTCTGAAGTTTCAAAGAAGTCTCTCGTACCTCTATTGGTAGGGCGTTGAAGGCGAGGACAAAATGATCTGCAGCGGCGGAGATGCCCACTAAAGCAGCAGTCTTCTCTGGCCGTGCAAGAGCGGCTAGCAACATCAGCCACGCACCCATGCTGGAGCCGACCAGGATCTTGAGCAAGTGACACGACAGGGAAATTGACCATTTGTGTGCGAGTTTGAGTAAAAAGGGAGAAAAATAGGAAAAAATACGTCAAGTTCCAAACAATTGTCAGCAGTGTTGGGGAATAGCTAACTACGACATTACTAACTTAAAGGGATACTTCAAGATTTAGCATTAAGCTTTCTATTAGTAGGAAACCTGTAGTATTTTTGAATTACCGTGCTTTCCACCCTCATATCCCCCTGAGACGAGAGATCTATGTATTTTTTGCCTCCAATCAAGCAACAATCGTCATTTTGTGTCTTCGGAGGATTTTTTTATCTAGAGGCTAAAGACTACAGTCAGTAGACGGGTCTGTCCCGCATGTCCTCAACCCGCCCATAGAGGGCGATCTCACTCACAGAATGAACACATAGTGTCGGCCATCTTTGTTTGGAAGCTAAGCTAGCAGGCTCTTGTTCTGTGGAGAAAGCTGAAAGCCATCCGCTTTTCCAGGACATGTCCGACCGTCGATGTCCGGAATTCAGCTTTTGCTTTCTGCAGTCGCCATTCATTGTTTACATGAACAGCTTTTGTTTCAATCTAACCGAATTCGTTCCGATTGGTGAATCTGAATGTAGTGTTTACATGAACGCTAAACAAGTGATCGGTTGATGTGCGTTTTAACATTGCTAAGAAAATTCGTGAGAGATACGAGACCGGTGCGTCTCACAGGTGTCACTCATCGGTAATCACGCCACCGGCCTCGCGCCGTTCTCCCGCGGCCCTCACTCGTCCCGCTCGCCACAGTAAACATGATGAACGGCGACTGTAGAACGCAAAAGCCCAATCCCGGACATTTTGGCCGAGCTGGAAACACACTCATCACGGAGACTCACTAGTAGCCTAGACTTGTTATTTAACTACTGCGCTCTGTTATCGGTAGGCGTGGCCTCCTAGGGCAGCGAAGCAAGTGCATTCTGGGAGTTGTTGTCTTTCATCCACATAAGCCAAAAATACATTTTCTGGCTTTTCTCAATCTAGAAAGCTCCAAATTCAAAAATAATTTCACATTTATTCTACATAAATGACCCATTTTAAATGTACATTCATCTTTCCAGAGGTGAAGTATCCCTTTAACTACATTTTTCAGTAGCTTTCACAACAGTGCAGCTTTCCCAGTAGCTAACTCCCTTTTCCAGCAAGTAAAAGTGTAGCACGACCAAAAGCTACGTTTCACGTTTTTTGACGAGCCTGCAATGCATTGACTGAAGCTTCGTCTTATTAGATGAGAAAAATTGCGCATTAGCGTTCTCTATCGTTTTATCAAGCATCTTGCATCCTTACAGTTCACTACAGAGTATCATATTCTCATGATTAAGGCCATAGAGTGGAGATTTCACATGAATCACTAGTAAAGAAGTGTTTTGCGCCATTGCTTTGGCAAAGCACCTGTCAATCGAAAACAATTATTAATTTATTTGTAATATACGTCTTTGTAAAAAAATCTAAGTTGTTTTCAATGTAGCTAGTATTTGATAGTAATCAAGTGTGGCTAACTACTTTTTCTGAAGGGTAGCTTGCCTGTAGTTTAACTACTTTAACTTGTGTAGCTTGTCAAACTACAGTTTCAGAGTAGCTTCCCCAACACTGCTTGTCAGAAACTTTTAATAGGGAAAAAACAATGTGAACATGGGATACTGATGACAGAGAAGGTTATAATAGGGCTGTGATTTCACTTTGGTTATGTGCATAATTTGATTCACTGGTATTCAAGTAACTGAAGGCATATTAGTCAATAAATGATTCCTGGTCAAATTCAATTCATCAAGACTCTCCAATGTGGTAATTAATCCACTCACCTGTGGCCCTTCGACTAATTCATCCAGTACATAGAGTACGTCCTTCTTCCAGGCACCCATGTTGTAGTTGCCCATTTCCCCTTCAGATGACCCGCAGCCAGAATAGTCAAACCTAAAGGGACACTAGCATAGCGTTAGTTAAAATGTCAAGGTGGATAAAGAAAACAGGGCTTGACATTAACTGTTTTGCTCACCGGCCACTGATGCTAGTTGTTTTTAACCACTCAGCATTTTCTCTGGCCACAATTGTGACATCGATACCATGGGGAAAACTGCCATATAGATATTTTTAATACTATATGAGAATTTGGCAGCCGGTATAATAGGCTGCTGTCACTTTAAGCCCTGACGCACGGACCCATTATACATGCGTTTTCTTTCACAACTGTGTTTCTCAACTACACTGTGTAACTCTTTTAGTTTATTCTTCGCTAAAAACACTTAGTTCTTTCAGAAATATATGTGCTTATTAATGTATATATACTTCGTTCAAGTAATAAAGTATTCTTGTGAGTGTATAATATGCCATTGAAAATACATACGGGTGTTGGTCGCCATGTTGCCCCTCCATCTTGAATGTACATTATCCAAAGAGGACTTACCCGTTAATTCAAGCTTCGCCTTTCGCGTTTACGTTTGAGTTAACACTCATGAACGAGGTCGAACTGGAAGCCATGTTAATCTTGGACTACATTGGCCACCGTAATTGGAATTGAGAGGAACAGAAACTAATATTCACTGGATGGTCATATACCTTTTCACCACTAGATGGGGGTAAAAATCACACAGTGTAGCTTTAAAACAAAACTAACTGTGTTTACGTGAATACTCAACGAAGAGCGACATTGTACCGGTATTTGACTGTTTAAGCACAACAAACAGCGAAAAATATGTGCGACTTTATGTGCGCGCACTTTGGGAGTAAAAAAAAAAGGAAGTTGCAGTTTGTCATAAAACAGAAGAGTAACATTTAGTTTTATGTGAAATTCGGTAGCTCGTATGTGTGCAGTCTGGTACAAAACACTCAGGCATGATGGCGTAACGTTACGATTATAACGCAAGACTATAGAAAAAATTACAGACGTTAGCTTCAGTAAAGTTAACATCATTCATGGAGGATCATGGGTTCACCTTTGGGGTTTGTAGTCTTTGTAATTATGTATTTTCGCAGTCTTATACCTCAACAGTTTTACATTAAACTGCGACTTTCTTGACTTTAAAATCTATCTTTTAAATTGACAAACTTCATGTGTAATTCAAACGAGATCAAAATATTTGTTGTCTCTCGCCATTGACTACCATTCAATATTTTTTCCAAATAAGGTCCCATGGTGGTTGACCGAGAAGGGGACAGACTTATGCATGC